GGAAAGACAGCTTGGGAAAACACAGTGTCAGGTTTCACAGGAAGCAGAGTCAAGCCAAGGGGGTTGAATTCCCCCAGCACAATTATGCTCCCACCACAGTACCCCCCATTCGCGTTGACTCTTCAGGTCTTCTCCTGCCAGTGGGCACCATCGCCAGCCAGGGCCACTTCTCTGAATGGAACTCTAGATTGCCCCTCTTCAGCACAGCCAGCGCTTGAGATCAACCTCCAGGGTTATGTGCCGAGAGCAGGGTGGCTCCCAGTTCCCAGCAGTGCCGCGGCCTACCGTTTCTCCATTACAGGGCACGGAGGGAGAGTGACCCTCTCTGAGCCTTGATCTCTGAGCTATTATTGGGAGGAGGCGGGGAAGGGGTACCTGGCAGCTGGCTAGGCCCGAGACCGACTTGTTCTCACACATGCATGGGGATCTGTGAGTGTCAGTGGCTGACCAGGCCCCTGGTAGACCCAGTCTCCTTTGCCTCAATATCATCTCCTTTCCTGCAGCTTTTAACACGTGACAGCTCTGAAACAAGCAGTTTCAGAATTGGGGTGAATTGGGTTTTAGGGCGACAGCTGCTGCATGGTGACCAGGCAAGTCCCTCCTAGCTGTATTCTCTCGCCATACCACGACGGCATGGGCTTCCTCTGGGACACGTTCCTGCACACGCCCGAGGCCAGCAGCAGCAGGCAGCCCCATGTCCTCATGCCTTTTTTTCTGAGTAGGTCTCTTCCTGTGTCCTGAGAGTCGACTTTAGTCTTCCTGCACTAAGTAATGTCTGCTGCATTGAGTTTCTCAGCCAGTTTCCATGTCCTTTTTCTTGATACCCATGTTTCTGATTCCCCACCACACCCTGTGCCCCACAGAATTTGGGTTTGCAGTGTCTCTGAGCACTCATCACACCACCCTTTGTAGACAGAGTTGGTGCCCAACTGCAGTCCCTGGGGAACTGGGATCATGCCCTCTGTAGGCACCCTATCTAAGTCTGATGAGGATGGCGTCAGGCTGAACCCTCTTGGGTACTCTCTCAGAAGTAGGAACACTGAGAATGCCAGAGATGTAGGGGGCATGAAGGGGTCAATTAGCTGGCAGTGAGACCAGCTGAAGACTCAGGAGTTTAGTCTGATCTCCACCCCCGCCCCCAGCCCCACCTGCTGGGTTACTTCTCTAAACGTGAAAGCAGTTCATGGAGCCTTGTCCTCTCTTGGGCATCCTCATGGCTTCTTGAGAAAAGCTGTGGCGCCTTGCCTGTGCCTGATGACACTGCTCCTGAACTGAAGGGTTGCATTGGCAGACAGAATGTTACACACTAGGGGAAGTGCATGTTAGACAGCCGTGGGTGTTCTGGAAGGTCGGTGCATAGGAAAGAGTGCTGGAGTTAGGGTCTGCAGGCCTGGCTTGGGACTACCCTGGATTCTTTGAGCCCAGAGCAAGTCTCTGTGTGGTGTTTTTTGTTTGTTTGTTTGTTTGTTTAATCTCAGACACAGCAGTCTTAGTTGCCAAATGGTGGGATTGAGCAAGGTGACTTCAGGGACCTTAAGTGTCAGACATTTCATGGAGTAGGCTGACGGAGGAGGACCGAGGAGAGAGGCATGACCGAGGAGAGAGGCATGACTGAGGGGAGGGTCTCATTCTTCATCCTACCCTTATCTGCGAGCCCCAGGAGAGAGAGGATAGACTGTGTCCTGCCCTGTGGAGCCTGCTTTGCTGGGTTTGGTTTCTCTGCTGGAACAAGGTATAGGACACACTGGCCCTCCCTGAGGCCCTGCTAGTCAGGGCCTAGAGCAGGATGTGCATGGAGCTCTGAGACTCTTCCGAGTTCCCAGTCTCCACCCCAGGTCCATCTCCTGCTCCAGCTCCGCCCCCAGCCTTGCTCACAGCCCTGTCCCAGCCACTGGGCTTCGAGCCCCCCGAGGGCAGGTACTCACGTCATAGAGGTGCCAGGCAAGTGCTTGTTAAATGGAATTGGTGGCCATTTGTATTGGGGCGTTCTCGTTCTTGTTTCCTGGGAAAGGGCCTCTGTCAGATGGTAGATGTTGTGCAGCATACTGGTTCCCATGGCTTTGGAAATTCAAACATATCCAGGCCAGAACTGCCTGTGCACTGCTAGGAGTGTCAGAAAAAAATGTTCTGTCTTAAACATAGATGCCTTTGAATTGGTGAGATTCCATCCGTGTCTGCTGGCCCTGTCCATTTCTAAACTTCCCTCTCCCATCCACCATGCCAAATAGGGCACAGTTCTTGTAGGACGTTGCTCAACTCTAGGGAGCCCCAAAGTGGTGATCGCTCAGCCTTTGAAGTAATGATGCTGTAGATCTTTGTGATGCCTTTCATCCAAGGACCTCCTCACCTTGCAGTGTTATCTGATCACAGTTTGGGGAGTACAGCAACCCCCGTTATTAAATATCCACCTCATAGCCATGGACGTTGAGGCCTGGGGAGAGGAGAGGGCAACAGAAGTGGGAACTGGAACAGGATTCTGGGCTTCAGCGACCTGTGTCCTGGGCAGGAGAGCAGCGGGCTTTTCTGCTGGCTGAAGGGCTGAGCCTGAGTTTGCTGGATACTGAGCTCCTCTGAATACTGCCGGTGCAAGGGTTGGGTGATTGCTGGCCCACAGTGGTTGGTAGCAAGCCCCACCCTGAGACATGGCGATTCCCTCTCTTGTTCTCCAAACTCTTCCTGTCCTGCCTCCAGCCAGTCATGGAGCATAGGCCCCCACTGCCATCTGTCTCATGGGGTGCGCCCAGAGATGAGCAGTTAGAGTGAGGAGGGGATGTCCCGCTGTGCCACGCAAGATGGTGGAAGGACTTCATGTGTGAGGTTTAGAGGAGAGAGAGCCCGGAGATGGCAGAACCAGATCTGGTCAAGGAGATGCCCTGAGAGGCCACTTCTGGTTCAGAATATGATAGAGCATTGAACAATCAAGAGTTATTTCAAAAAAGGGGAAAGGAAAGCAAGTTCCCCTCCCTGCAGGTAAGGGAGCAGAGGGAGCGGACTGCTGGACGCAGGTGTCATGGATGTAACAGATGCAAAGTCTTTCTGGCTGATGGGTCTAGTCTTATTTTCTGTCTCCCCAGTGTGCCGTGAGTGGGTGGACTTCAGTGGATTCTTCTTCTTCTTCTTCTTCTTCTTTTTTTTTTTTTAAAGATTTATTTATTTGACAGGATTACAGGGGGCCGGCGCTGTGGCGCAGTGGGTTAACCCCCTGGCCTGAAGTGCTGGCATCCAATATGGGTGCTGGTTTGAGAACCGGCTGCTCCACTTCCAATCCAGATCTCTGCTATGGCCTGGGAAAGCAGAAGAAGATGGCCCAAGGGCTTGGGCCCCTGCACCTGTGTGGGAGACCCAGAGGAGGGACCTGACTCCTGGCTTTGGATCAGCACAGCTCCAGCCGTTGAAGCCATCTGGGGAGTGAACCATCGGATGGATACCTCTCTCTCTGCCTCTTTTTCTCTGTGTAACTCTGACTTTCAAAGAAATAAATAAATCTTAAAAAAAAAGAAAGGATTACAGAGAGAGAAAGAGCGAGCTCGTCCATCTTCTGGTTCACTCCCCAGATTGGCTGCAACAGCTGGGGCTGGGCCAGGCAGAAGCCAGAAGCCAGAAGCCAGGAGATTCTTCCAGGTCTCCCATGTGGGTGGTGGGTGACAGGGCCCCAAGCACTTGGGTCATCTTCCACTGCTTTTCCCAGGCCATTTGCAGGGAGCTGGATCGGAAGTGGAGCTGCTGGGACATGAACTGGCGCCCGTATGGGAAGCTGGCGTTGCAGACAGTGGCTTTACAGGCTATGTCACAGTGCCACTCTCCAGTGGCTTCTTGAGATTCCAGAGAGAGTCTACTAGCCTGGAAGAGTTTTCTAAATGTCCCTAAAGAAGAGGACTATGGCCCTGTCTCTTCTCTGACTCTAATAGAGGTCATTAGGTGGCTGTGCAGATGCCTGGAAGTTTTGTTTAGTCTTAGTTTCATTTTATTTAAATAAAAACAGGAAAAGCCAGTGGAGGAGGGTGGGAACCTCACCCAGCCTCTCATTCTTCACCCATTTTTCTGTCCTGGCCCTTCTCTCATCTCACATTCCCCTCTTCCTTCCCTCCCTCTCCCTCTCTCCTGCCTTCTCTCCCTTCTCTTCCCTCTTTCCCAGTTTCCTCTTTTTCTTTGTTTTTAATGGTAGAAGTGCTATAGTTCATGGATAGTTTCATCTTGTTAAGACAACAACGCTAGCAACAGGTTGAACTCCTCGTGACCACCTTTGCTGTAACTCCCAGTCCCCTCCCTGGCTGCGATGGCTGTTTTCACTCTGGCATCTTTTCAGAACACACGCACATCTACACTGTTCTGCAATTTGCTTGTTCATTTTAAAAACCTGTGTCAACCGTATTCCCTTGCCAAGTCGTATAGCACTTCCCCATTCCCGCTGACAGCCCATTCTGTTCCATAGTGTGGCTAGCTATAGATGACTTGCTTAACCACTTTTGTGTTGATGGACATTTCCGTTGCCTCCAATATTTCCTTATTTTAAATAACGCTGTGGTGTCAGCAGCCGTGTTGAGTTTCTGTCTCTGATAATTGCCTGGAATGAAACTTGCTAGGAATGCAGGACATGCATATTGAAATTCCAATAGATGTTGCCAAAAACTACCCTCTGGCTGTCCTCCCTCCAACAAGGTGTGTATGATAGCGTCTGTTTTCTCAATACTTTTACCAACATCTGATACCTCCCACTGCGAGCACTTGCCAACATCCACCTGGACTGCCTGGTACGGCAGTGAGTGCCCCGTCACCAGAGGGCATGAACCATGACAGGGAACCACTGCTGGGGACATTGCAGTAGGGACCCCTGGTGTGGTATAGTGGCTGAGCCAGCTGGCTCCTGAGAGCCCTTCAACCAGAGACTGTGGGAGTTTTTGGATGGCTTCAGTGATCAAAAGAGCTTTCTTGGCACCTTTGCTCCAGTTTTTGCCCAACAAGGAACAGAGGCGAAATTGTTCCTATTGTTGTTTCCTTAGGTCGGCTGAAGCTGTCAATTGATGCCCAGGATCGGATTCTGCTGCTCCACGGTGAGTATAGCTGAGTGCAGCCTCTCCAAGGAAGGGCGACCATTCCCTCCCAACCTGGAGCCGGGGCCAGGGCATTGTCTTCCTATAATGTCCTACAACAGTGGGTGTTTACTTGGGCTCTTTGTACTGACCCAGCCCCTGAGTCTACTCAGTGGGCCTCTGTCCTGCACAGGCTAGGGCTGTCCCTGGGCACCTCAACATCATCCTTGGTCCCAGTGCAGCAGGCCATGGAAGAGCTTTCTTATCCTCATTCCCATCTTTTCTCTATCTCATTCATTGATGGGCAGTATAGTATTACAGTTAAGATCACAGTCAAGATTATAGTCTTCAGAAACAGACCCCTAGAAGCTGAATCCTAGCTCTGATGCTTTATTGTGGAGTGGCCTTGCGCAAGTTGGGGTTTCTCGTGTGTTGTATAGTGGTGGTCATAGTATCTGTCTTATGCATTGTTATAAGGATTAAATGAATGAATGTTAAAGTGCTTAGAACAGTGCCCTGCTTGTAGGAAACCCTGTGTGCTAAAAATAGAAAACTGTCACTCCAAAAATAATGATTAAACATTGGCTTTTTAAAAAAGATTTTATTTACTTATTTGAGAGGTAGAGTTATAGACAGAGGGAGAATCAGAGAGAGAGGTCTTCTATCCACTTGCTCACTCCCCAAATGGCCACAGCAGCCGAAGCTGAGCTGATCTGAAGCCAGGAGCCAGGAGCTTCTTTCAGGTCTCTCATGTGGGTTCAGGGGCCTACGCACTTGGCCCATTTTTCTCTGCCTTCCCAGGCCATAGCAGAGAAGTGAACTGGGCAGCTGGGCACTCCACACAGGTGGAACAGCAGGTACAAAGGCCCAGGGGTCAGAGAGGGCAGAATGCAACTGAAGAGCTATCTGGTACGATTAGGACACAACCCAGGAGAAGATTTCTGCTTTCTCAATCTATTCATCCACTGTTCATCTTCCCATCCAGCACATAAACAGTTACCAAGCTTCTGTCATTGTCCCCAACACCTAGACTCTCCTGTTCAGCCTGGAAGGCGCGGCCTTTCTCTTTAGCCTCCCTAGTTCTGGTTGCTAAAATGGCACCCTCCCCTTGTTTGTACCGCCTTGAATACATCCTGCCTGGCCTTCCTTCTGTTACTTGTGTTGGGTATAATCATTTTTTAAAAAGCTCCTTTTGAAAACTAAATCTTTCTCCCTCCTTGCCCCTGAATTTGCAAGAAATCTGCCCGTCTTAGCCATCATTAAGATTTCAGAGGGAAGGTTCATTTCTGCCTTATTTTCCCCTCCAGGAGTCACCTCCCCCGCCACCCCCCCAACCTGCTTGGGCTATGTTTCTTTCTTGCTTTGGTGTGTCCTCATCGCAGCCTGACTCTGCTGTGTCAGAGTCGGTCCACCCTGTGTCTAGTCCTTCTGCTGAAGTGGGAGACACAAACAGAGCCTGCCTCACTGCCCCTGGTGGCAGGGAGACCCAGGAGGTGTTCAGGCCTGGAGCCTGCCCTAGACAGCTGTGCCCTCAAGAGAGTGATGCATGCAAGAGCAGTAGCTAGGATATGGGGTGGAACAGACCAGCAGGCGCCTGGGGTCCTGTGGTGCTGGCCCTGGGGTGCCCAAGGTGAAGTTCCCAAGGACCAGCAGAGGGGTGTTCTTTGCCTGTCGGGGCCTGACTCCAGCTGTGCAAACAGTTTTTGCAGGATGCATCTTGGCCTCCACCGCTCCATTTGTCCTGCACAGTTTGCTTTGGCTTCACCCCAGTTGCAGGCCTTCAGCCCTTGCAGCCCATCCCCTCTCCTTCCTTTGGCTTCCCAGGCCTCATGCCTCAGTCAGCTGGGAGCTCTTTCCAGCTCAACCCTAGGGCTCAGTCACAATCAAACATAAAAAAAGACAGAGAAGAGGCTCAGGTTCTGTAAGATCTGTTGTTGATTTCTGCAGACCTTAGGCAAATGGCCATGCTTGCTTTCTTTGTTGTTGTTGTTTTTTTTTTTTTTAATAAATTTTGTTTTTTTAAAAGATTTATTTACTTGAAAGACAGAGTGATAAAGAGGGAGAGACAGGGAGAGAAGAGACTTTCCATCTGCTAGTTAACTTCCAAGATGTTCCTCAGTAGTCCAGAACTCCACCCAGGTCTCCACATGGGTGGCAGGGGTCCAGGTACTCAGGCCGTCCTTTGTTGCAGTCCCAGGCACATTAGCAGGACGCTGGATTGGAAGCAGAGCAGCTGGGACTCGAGCTGGTGCTCTGATATGAGATGATGGGATCCTGGTGGTGGCTTAACCCGCTGCATCAGCCCTGCCATGCTTGCCCTCGTGACTAGACCTGCACCTGCCTGCCATCTGTCCTTTACCTTCCTCTTCGTTTCCTTAGCAACCGTTTGTTGAGTAGTTACTTACACACCATCTCATGTAAATGGCACAGCTACCACGTGTACATCATCGCCTCAGTGACTATTGCAGTGTCCATCAGTCACAGCGTGGGTCCCTCTTCTGGGGGAGTCCTCCAGTCTAACCCTTCCATTCCCAGGAAGCAGTCTTGTGTGGTATAAGGAGCACTGGACTTGGAGCCAAGAGACATGGATTCTAATCCAACTGTCCTTACCATTCCTTCATGATTTTGGGCTCCTGCTTGGAGCCTCATTTCCCCCATTTTAGTGAAGGGCTTGGCTCAGTAACCTTTAAGTGCCCTCTTAGTTGGGAAAGCTCAAGAATCGAATGCCCTCCATGTGGCCTCGGTGAGGGTGCTTCGAGAGTGTGGGGGAAGGTGGGAATGGACCAGGCAATGGCCGCTGGTGGTTCTGCAGGTCCAGGGCCTGGGAGGAAGAGCCAGAGCCCTACTGCTCACACGTGCGCCTTAGAGTGAGTGTGTGTGCTCCCCCTTACCTACCCCAGCGTTTCAATTCTCTCTTAGTCATAGAAGCCAAGGGTCTGATGAACAAAGAGCCTGGTGTCTGCGATCCCTATGTGAAGGTAAGTGACAGGGCTGGAGGTGTGGTGGGGGGTTGGAGGGGTCACAGCTGGGCCACTTGACGTGGTGGCTTCCATCCCCTTCATTCAGGCATTTATTAGGCACGGTGATGATGCTCTAGCCTAGGAGAGACCCCCTCCCTGATCCCAACGTGGTCCCTAGGACTTCGTGCAGGAGCTAGAGTCTTAAGGCTGATCTTGGTTGCACACACAGGTGGGCACAGTGAGCATGTGGGTGACCAAGAACCACAGACAATTCCAAGCCCTCTTGTGATGAGCAGCACCTGCACTCTCTTTCTCTCCAACACTAGGGGTGGAAGGGCCAGGCTGGGCAGCAGAGAGCAGGGAGCGTCTCCAAGATCCTCCTGATTGGGGCCCATGCAGTGAAACCAGAGGCTCTGCAGGGGCAAGGGTTTACTTCCAGGGAGCGCCAATGGCCAGGAGTGTGGCAGCTGGGGTGCCAAGGACAGGCCCTGATGTACACCTCTGCATCCTTCCTGAGGCCTTCCATCTGGTCAGAGGCCCCTGTGGGCAGGGCTGGCTGCTGGAGGCAGGGGAAGAACAGAGTGTGGATTTGCAGCCTTGGCAGGAGGCCGACCTGGAACCTCTTGTGAAGGGAGCACTTGGCAGCTGCTGGACACGTAGAAGAGAGAAGGCTTTAGGTTTGGGGGAAACCGATCTGGAGGAAGAGTTGGACCCATCTCTAGCTGGGCACCGGCCACCTTCCTGGAACCACCCACCGTGAAGCCCTGTCCCAGCATCTGACTCCACGGCCTCAGGGCTTAGGCTCCTTGTTCCTTTCCAGCACCGGACCAGGGCCTCTCTGTCCTCTGCAGAGGCTGGTTCGCAGGACACTGGGGAGCTGTGCAGAGTCAGCTGCTGGGCTTGGGTGATTACGTGGCCGTGAGATCTGCTAACACTTAACTTTCTCCAATTCAAGATCTCTTTGATCCCTGAAGACAACCGAAGGCGCCGGCAGAAGACACAGACCATTCCGGACTGCAGGAACCCGGCTTTCCACGAGCACTTCTTCTTGTGAGAGTCCGGTGCAGCTGGGCCTTTGAGAAGGGAGGAAGGGTGTTTATCCAGAAGCAGCTCTGTTTGCCAAACCTACAGCTGGCTCTGGGCAGCACAGCAGTCACTTCTAAAGGATGTCTTTGTTTTCTCATGCCCTGTGTCCCTGCATCCCTGGCACCGGCCCTCAGTGAGGTTCATGATAAGGTGTCATCGGGCTGCTTCTCCTAACTCCAGTGCCCCACCTGGGGCTGGCAGCCCTGGAAAGAGCAGGGAGTATCCCACTGCACCCCAGGCCAAGCTTTCACCTTCAGCAGAAGGAATTTTCCAAACGCAGGGAGGGTTCGCCTCCCTGTCCTCCCTTTCATTTAAACTTGCTAACCTCCCTGAGCCTTGGCTTCCCTTATTGTCACACGGGGCTAAGGGCAGTACTAGCCTCAGAGAGCGATGCGGGGGGGGGGGGGGGGGGGGGCGGACCTGGTAGCGCTGGGCCCGGCCAGCTGGTCACTATTGGGTTATGAAGCTTTCTTTCTCCTCTCGCTGAACTCTGGGGCCAGCAGGAAGGTGGTGGACATTTTGTCTTTTCCCATGTGTGAAAATTAATCATAATCATTTGGTTTTCCTCTGTATACAAGGTAGTTTTGCTTATTGTAGAAAAATAGAAAATACAGATAGATGAGCAAAGAGAAGGAAATAGAAAACACCCCTAGTTGTATCAGAAATATCTTGCAGGATATCTTGTCAGACTTTTCACTTCTGTGAGGATGACTGTCTCTCTGTGTGTAGAGGTGTGTTTACAAAATCCAGGTGTTTTCTACTAGTGTGTGGTCACCTCCCTTTGTCCTTTATCGTGTAACTTCAACTCCGTCAGTGTGCCGGTGGTCACCTTCCACACTACTGGCAGTGTGTGTCCTTTATCATGTAACTTCAACTCCATCGGTGTGCCGGTGGTCACCTCCCACTCTATTGGCAGTGTGATTTATTTGACCAGCTGTGGAGGTTATTTCAGATTTTTGCAGGTGCGGTGGACTCCGTGGGCCTGGCCTGGAGCAGAGGCCCCCTAACACTCTGCTTGGCTTCACAGTCCTGTCCATGAGGAGGATGAGCAGAAGCGTCTTCTAGTCACCGTGTGGAACAGGGCCGGCGGGTCCAGGTGAGAGCTAGGAGCGGGTGGGAGCCCCACTCCAGGTTAGAGCCAGCAGGCAGTGAGAGCTCAGTTAGTGCTTGCTGGATAAATGAGTGGTGGTGGCTAGGCCACATTGCAGAGGCTGCCACTCCCAAGTCCCTATCACTCTGGCTGATGCCGAAGACTGTGCCCCCAGTGAGTGTTTGCAGAGTGCTGGTGTCAGCAAGGCGCTGTGTCAGTGGCCACTGGGGACACCAGCCAGCAGACACATGGATCAGCTCTCAGGATGCTCGCTGGTCAGGTGGGGATACAGTAGGTGCTGCATGGAAGTAAATTAGTTTATAACACAAGACTCCACGCATGATGAAAAATATGCCAGTTTTCTTTTAGTCAACTCTGTCTGTACCTAGGCCTAACACACAGATGTTTAATGAATATCGGCTGCATGACTAAAGGACTGAAATGTGTAACAGGGAGGAGGGAGCTCCCATTGCAGGCCGAGATGGCCAAGGAGGGCTTCGTGGGAAAAGCTGAATTTGCGACTTGGACAGAGGTTAAGAGTAAGGCAGCGAAGGCTGGAAGGGGTTTTGCAGGCAGGCTACAGCAGGCTCAAAGGCAAGGAGGCAGGGTTATGTGTGCTGGGCTCAGGCTGCGCTGAGGAGGTGCAGAAGTCTTCTGTGGGGAGTCCACACAGGCTGGCGTGGCAGCCCAGGGCACGGGGGGGCAGGTGTAGTCACTGGCCATGCGGTTAGCACACTGCAGGGGAGGGGTGCTCAGGAGGAGAGCATGAGGAGTGCTAAGCAAAGGGCTCAGTGCAGTTGGCTGTGGCCCACAGATCATCCAGCGTCGCAGAACCAAAGGGTGACTCAGAAAGGGGCCTGTGTGATTCACACTCAGTTCCGCTCACCACCTTAGACCTGGAAAATGGTTTTTTATTGGGTGGATGTTTTTTAGTACCCTAAACTTTATTGGCTAATGTGCTTTTATATATATATATATATATATATATATATATATTTAAAGATTTTTTTTTTATTTGAAAGTCAGAGTTACAGAGAGAAAGAGAGGTCTTCCATCCGCTGATTCACTCCCCAGATGGCCATAACAGGCAGGGCTGAGCCAGGCCGGAGCCAGGAGCCAGGAGCTTCTTCCAGGTCTTCCACGTGGGTGGCAGAGGCCCAAACACCTGGGCCATCTTCTGCTGCATCTTCTGCTGCTTTTCCCAAGCCATTGGCAGAGAGCTGTATCAGCAGTGGAGCAGCCGGCACATGAACCTGCGCCCACATGGGATGCTGGCATTGCAAGCAGCAGCTTTACCCACTACGCCAACAACGCCAGCCCCAAGTGTGCTTTTTAAAGTTGAACACTCTTTTCCCTTCAAAATGAAGACTTTTCTTTTTAATCGAGTATCTACTTTTCATCATAAAGTGGTACTCATCGTATTATAGGCCTCATCCACCCATCCAGCCATTCACTCACTCATTCATCAGTTCATCTGTCACTTCCTGGGTACTAATATGGCAATAAAATCCTGGGTGCTGGGAACACGTGGGACTCATCAGAGACTGTGCTGTTCCCTTGAGGATCGGTAAGAGCACCTTGGGGGGGTGTGGAGGAAGAGGGGAACATCGTGTTAATAAACCCACCATTGGCTGGGTGCTGGTCTTGAGCTAGGGGCCAACAGTTCACATATTATCTCATTTAATTCTTAAAATTCGGAGTGTGGTTTTGTCCCAAGTTTTCAGAAGAGGAAACTGAAGCTAAGAAAGGCTGGTAAATGTCACCCAGCCGGTTACCAGTAGGAGCCAGGATGGGGACCAAGGCAGTTGGACCCCAGAGTCCTTTCCCTTAACACGGTACTGTCTTGTGGATGCACAAACGAAAGCACAGAAGAAAGAACCAGCAGAGTAGAGAGGACAGAGCAGGGCGGGAGTGGAGTGAGGTGTCTGCACACTCAGCGGGTGCTGGAGGACCCAGGGCAAGGTCGGGGCTCCTAGAGGTAAGATGAAGGGGTCGGCAGAACCGAATCAGACAATTCTGCAGCTTCTCTCTGGAGTGTGGGCTTCCTCCTTGTGAGACGCACAGCTTTCCAGGAGCCATAAAGGACTGCCTGAGCCTGAATCTCCGTGGGCAAAGCCTAGGAATCCACGCTGTGAGGTTGAACCTGCTGTAGCCAGTTTGGGGTTTGGGGAGCTGTTAGCTGCTGGGAGGTACTGAAGGGTGTTGAGCAGGGGGCTGGCAAGTGTGCATTTCAGACTGATCAGCTTGGGAGGCCTCTGGGGGGTCAGGGTGAGAGATGGTTTGGGATACAGAGGAGAGAAATAGACTCAGGACAGACTTTGGAGGTCGGTTCAACAGTACTGCATGGTGATTTGCCTGTGAGAGCAGTGGGAGAAGGCAAGGCTAACCCCTGGCCAGCTGGTGGTGGTCCTGCTGAAGTTAACATGTACTGGAAAGGAATCAGCTTGGGCTCAGCTGAGGGGCAGGTGCCTGCAGAGCAGCCCGGTGAGAGCTGAGCAGGAGGGCTTACCTTTACCTTCCTGATGTTGCATAGGGAGTCAGTGCTGGTGGGACTGTGGGAGCCGTGACCATCAAGGCAGGTGAGACTGCCCAGGAAGAGCACTGAGTGTCAAGAACCAAGGTCAGAGTCTGTCTGAGGGGTCAGGAGAATAAGGGAAATGCCCTGAAGGCGGCAGTCGGGATGTGTCAGAGGTAGACACACCAGCCCAGCTCACAGGGGCAGGGACTGGCAGGTGCTAGAGGCAGACCCTAACCAGGGGGAGCCGCCCGTGGCATGGTGATTGTCCCTCCTGCCAGGACAGGATGAGGGGGCAGAGCTGCTGGAGAAGGAGCCAGGAACGTGGGTCACGTTTTTGGAAAAGCAAGTGAGGCCGGGGAAAGTGAGTCAGCCCCCAGTGAGGTGGCGTGACTGGGGCAGTGTCTCCACTTGTTGCCTATTTTGGGAAAGTGAGATTCTTTATTAAACAAAACACAGCCAAACTCGTGGTCACAGTCCCAGCCCAAAGCTCAAGAGGGACAGAGCAGGCTCAGGCAGGCCCGCCTTCGGAGCCGATGGCCCTGCCCAGGCTGTCAGCACCCGGGAGGCCGGCTCAGGCTCCAGTGTTCTCCGCGGACTCGCTCCTGTATCGACCTTTGAGTGAGCAGGCCTCTGGGCTGGGGGAGGCGGACCAGTGACAGCAGGAACCTTGGGCTCCGCTGGATCCTCTCAGATCAAGCTATGTTCTCAGAGATGGATGGCAAAGTAGCGACGTCAAAGCAGGGAAACAAATGGTTAGTGTGCCAAGCACTTTACATACATTATCTCATTTAATCCTCGTAACAGTGCCGAGGGGTAGGAATTAGTATCAGCCTTCTCATCAGGGAAAGAAGCCGAGGCTTATGAAGGCTAAGGAGCTTTCTTGAGGTATTACAACAGCTCTTATTTGATAAGCACTTCTCATGTGTGGTCATTTAGCCCGTGCTATGTATGATCTGATTTAATCCTTACGGCATGAAGTAGGTGTTAGTATTGCTGCTGTCTTACAGGTGAAGAAACAGGCATGGAGAGGTTATGTTAGCTCTCCAAGCTCACACAGCCGCGCTGCAGTGAAACAAGATGCACATGCCAGCTGTCTGGTGCCAAGTGCAGGCAGTGTCACAAGGGTGATAAATGACTAAAGCTGCACCCTTTCTGTGTCGCAGCACTTGCTCCTCAGGCCTCAGGGCGCGTCTCGCAGCACTCACAGTGTAGTTTCCGATCATCCTCAGCCGCGCGGGTGACTTTCACGTTCTGTAAGCAGTAGGACACAGAGGGAAGTGTCTGCCCAGCAAGTCCTCACCATCCCTTCAGTGACAGCGAGAATTGGTACTGGAGAAACGAGGCGTCCCTCCGAGAAGCTCTGGGTGAGGGCGGCAGGAGGTCGGCACAGCCCGGGATCCCAGCAGGAGCTGGGGAGAGCCAGGCCTCAGAGCACGGGTTCTGACTTCACTCTGGCTTGGGTCAGTCCCTCCCCTGCTCTGGGTCTCAGTCTCCTCATCTGTAAAAGGCAGTTATCTTTAAAGTTTACAGAGAGAGAGAGAGAGAAAGGGGGAGAGAAAGAGATAGAGAGAGAGAGAGACATCTGTCTTCTGGTTCACTTCACAAATGGCTTCACCTGGGTCTCCCACGTGGGTGCAGGGGTGCAAGCACTTGGGTAATCTTCCTCTGCTTTCCCAGGCACATTAACAGGGGGCTGGATTGGAAATGGAGCAGCTGGGACTCGAACCGGTGCCCTTATGGGATGTTGAAGTCTCAGGCAGCAGCTTTACCTGCTATGCCACAGTGCCAGCTCCTATCCTGTGAGCTTTTTGAAGTCCCCTGGTGTATGGCCAATCTTAATTTCATCTATGCCCTGCCCTCTTTCTCCCTCTTCTAGTGGTTTTATTTACTTATTTGTTTTCTGGGGTTTTTGTTCTTTTTTAAAATTTTGTTGGTTTCTTACCTGATTTTTTTAGTAGAAAGAAGAAATCCCAGACATCATCTCATTTTATCATTTTGTATTTCTAAAAGATGGCTTAAAAATCATGATGCTATTATCACACTTAAAAATGAATAGTAATTCCTCAGAATCATTGAATATGCAACTAAGCTATTTGCAAGTTCTGTCTGAAGAGATGGTGAAAGCCAAACTGACGTTTCTAATGTCTGCTGCAGCGTTTCAGACATTGTGGCCAGAGAATAGTGTTGGGGAACACTGTAATATTATGTGTCCAGTTAAATGCATTTATATGTAATTAAAGAACATCCTATTTCTTTAAATATTTATTTATTCAAGAGCCAGAGCACCACAAAGAAAGAGAGAGGGAGAAAGAGAGCGAGCGAGCGAGCGAGAGAGCGCACTTCCATTCACTGGCTCACTCCCCAAATGCTGGCAGTGAGTGAGGCTGGGCCAGGCCGATGCCAGAACTGGAAATCAATCCAGGTCTCCCATGTGGGTGACAGGGGTCCAGGAGCTTAAGCCATCACTTGCTGCCTCCCAGCCTGTGCATCAGCAGGCAACTGGAGTCAGGAGCTGTGGCCAGGAATTGAACCCAAGTACTCCGGTGTGGATGTAGATGTTTTTTTTTTTTTTTTTTTTTTTTTTTTTTTTTGACAGGCAGAGTGGACAGTGAGAGAGAGAGACAGAGAGAAAGGTCTTCCTTTTGCCGTTGGTTCACCCTCCAATGGCCACCGCGACCGGTGCGCTGCGGCCGGCGCACCGCGCTGATCCGATGGCAGGAGCCAGGAGCCAGGTACTTATCCTGGTCTCCCATGGGGTGCAGGGCCCAAGCACTTGGGCCATCCTCCACTGCACTCCCTGGCCACAGCAGAGGGCTGGCCTGGAAGAGGGGCAACCGGGACAGAATCCGGCGCCCCGACCGGGACTAGAACCCGGTGTGCCGGCGCCGCTAGGCGGAGGATTAGCCTAGTGAGCCGCGGCGCCGGCCAGATGTAGATGTTTTAACTACTGTGCTAAATGCCCACTCCAAGAATATAATGTTTTGTGTTAATAGAAGCTGCATTTACAGAGGGTCTGTTTTCTCTGTGCCATGCACTGCCCTGGGCACTGCAAGTGTATTCTCTCCTTTAACGTATTTTACAAACAGGACCTTGGTGCCAAGTGCAGTTGCCTAACTTCAGAAAGCTTGTGACCAGTGGTGGGTACCAGGCCTAAAGCAAAACCATCAAATTAAAAATAAACTGGGGCCAGCATTGTGGGTAAAGCTGCCACCTGTGATGCCAGCATCCCATATGGGTCTGATTCATGTACCGGCTGTTCCACTTCCGATCCAGCTCCCTGCTAATGGCCTCGGAAAGCAGTGGATGATGGCCCAAGTGTCTGAGCCCTTATGTGAGAGACCAGCATGAAGCTCCTATTTCCTGGCCTTGGCCTGACCTGTTATGGCCATATGGGGGAGTGAGCCAGCAGATGGAAGACCTCTTCTCTCTCTCTCCCTCTCTCTCTTTCTCTCTCTGTAACTCTTTCAAAATAAATAAGTTTAAAAAAAAAGTTAAAAAAAATGCATTTGAATAATATCATCCTCTAGCAGAAATCGTGTAAGGCCCCTCAAGAATGGAAGCGCATTCCCTGAGAAATGGTGCGTTTTCGTCTTACAGTGGTCTGCTCTCTGCGGCAAAGCGAACGGAATACTCCTTCCGGTGTGTACATGAAGTTAGCTCTGAGCCTCCCGACTGGCCGTGCTGTCTGTCTGCTGACAGGTTCTTCCTCTCTTTTATTCTGACTCAATCCGTAGGCCTTCTTCAAGCTTCTCAGCCCTGTGCTACCTCTTGCCTCTCGAGCCTTCGGAACGCGCTGCTCGCACTGCTCATCTGTCAATCTCACCCTATCCTGTGACATCCCCTGTGTTGCTGTCTCGAGCTGCTATTTAAATCCCTACATGTTTGTCTTGTTTCCTTAATGCTGCGGCTGCCTGCCCAGTGCCTGCCAACCGCAGGCGTGATGGATTCATCCATTTGTCAAGCTTTCACTGAGTGCACTGGGCCCCACGCGCAGGCACTGGCAGGCAGAAGTATCCAGAGCTTGATTTCCGAGATTTTGTGTCTAACAAAGCTTCAGGCAGTCTGCAGGGTGAGGGCTAGCTCCGGAGTTCATAAGCTCACTGCTATATTGCCATGTGCTCAGGTCGCTTGCAGAAGTCTTTTCTTCCTCCCAACAAAAGCAGGCCTAAAGAAGCTAATTGACGAACACTTAGTGAGAGGTTCCTGCCTGCAGACATTAATGTGACCGTTTACTCTGCCTAAAGTATCATGAAATCTTTAGAGGCCCCTTAGCAGGAAGCAAAGCTCAAGGGAGGCTACTAACCATTTAGCATTCTCTAAGCACCAGGAAATGAAAGTTCACTTACTGAAGTCGAGAGAGATGGCATTCCTGCAGCTAATTCCTCAGCCCGCAGACCTGCAAAATTTCAGCCCTGTGCGGTGCGGGAGGGAGGTGCACAGCTAGGCGGTGAGGGCACCGGCTCTCAGCCGCCATACCAGCAGGGCTGGACAAACACAATTACGTTGGCGTGAGGACGCTGGCAAAATCTTGCCTGGGCTTTCCTGGCCGGGCACTGCCATGAGTGTCTGCACTTGTTTGTGTGCCTGCCACTGCCTCTTGTTAGAACTGATCTGGCCACTAGCCAGGGGGGAGGAGTGTCTGTCTCTGGCTGTGGGCTGGCTCTGTGGATGTGGAAGGGTCGCTTTACTGTCCTCTTTGAGGAGATTATGAATATGGCCTTAGGTGATGGAGGAGGGTGAGAGAGACAGGAGCTGGAGCAGGAGGAGGGGGAGTGGGAGCTGCTGGTGAGGGCCTCGGAGTATGGCCGAGGCTGAGTGTGGATTTGCAAGCAGGGGACCCATTTTGAGGACTCGACCCCGGCATTCAGCATCCCCACCCCTCGCTTGGCTCTGCTGCCTTCGAGAAGCCAGTGTTATTTTCTTTGGACTATCAGGTGGCAAGTTGCCACTCTTTCCGGAGAATCCAAACAGTGTGTATTTATAGAGGCCTTCTAGCCCTCTGGGCGTGGCCTGTGGTGGGCATGGGTGGAGACCCAGCAGAGTCTCTGGAGGGCTCTCTCCATTCCCGGACTCCACCTGGCGCCACCTGGATGTGGGTTCTCGGGCACGAGCTCTGAAGCCCAGATCTGGGCCAGGCTCTTCAGCTGGTTGTGGGATGTCCTCCTGGTTCTGGGGTGCACTCCTGGTTAGGAGGTGGCCCTGGCTCAGGCCCCTGAAGCCCAGGTTCCTGGGAGGCACATCTCCAGGGGCTGCATTATCTCTACAGGCAGTCTATTCCACCCTTGGCTTTGAAATGCTGCCTTGCACAGGACAGACCTAATCTTCCACCTGTGGGGGTCCCTGAGACCCACCATGTCTGTCCAGTCCACTGCCGAGTCATCCTGCTGTCTTAAGATCCCTGAGATTCTTGATCAAAACTTATTAAGCTAATCTACAGCAAGGGGTTGCAGCAAGAGAGAAGAACCGGGAAAAGAAACCACTTAAAACCCAAGTGTTAGGGCAGAGTAGGATGTGGTATAGTAGAAGTACTTAGAAATACATTTATACTGTTTTTTCCCCCGACGACAAAAGTAGTGCTTGTTCCCTGCAAAGGTTTGCAAACAGTGAAAACCCAAAGAAGAAAACAAAAATCCTTAATAATCTCACCAGATAGACCCATTTCTAGTATCTTTGAGGGTTTCCTTCTCATTGAGCTATAGCTTTGTAAACTTCCTTTTCTCTGACAACAGGAAATTTTTTTTTGCATTTCTTTCATATTAACCATAATATTCATCATTTTTAAATTAAAGACTTATTTATTTATTTGAAAGGCAGAGAGATGGAGAGAGAGATAGAGAGAGGTTTTCCATCTACTGGTTCAGTCCCTAAATGGCCACAATGGCCAGAGCTGGGCTGGTCTGAAGCTAGGGTCCAGGAGCTTCTTCTGGGTCTCCCACGTGGGTACAGGGGCCCAAGCACTTGGGCCATCCTCTGCAGTCCTCCCAGGCGCAGTAGCAGGAAGCTGGATTGGAAGTGGAGCAGCCAGGACTCGAACCAGTGCCCATATGGATTCCAGCATTGCAGGTGGCACCTTAACCTTCTATGCCACAGCACAGCCATTAATATTCACCATTATTAGAAGCTACAGAGTATTAACCTGCCCTTGATTATCATGTGTTAAGGGTCAACTGTGGACATTCTTCAGGAACTTTGAATAACTCTTAACCAAGAAGCACCAGGTTGAACACAGCCCCTCACCATAGTCAGCTGTTGCCATGGGGCCTGACCCTGGCTCATGCCTATTTGCCCCATTGGCAGTCAGGTCAGATTGGTGTCACTGACTTTTGTGTGTCAGTTGGGTCCTGCCTGACCTGAGACTAAGCTTCTCAAGCTTGAGGTCCCATAGCTTTTCTCCTCGGCTGAGCGTCAGTGAAGTTGTGGGAGTGGAGACTTGCTGTGGGGACCAGCCCTTGTGTTCTCTCCAGCACCAGAACCATGAAAACCTGTGAGGTAGTTCTGAGTGTCTGTGGTTGGTGGAGAGAGTGTGCATCAAGGCCTAGGACCATCGAGACCCCTGGACCCAACTGCTAACTAATCCTGTGATCTTGGACAGGGAGCCAGCTCTGAGCTTCCAGGTTCCCTCTGTAAAACAGAGATAAGAACTCTTCCATAGCCTGCTTCTCCCCATGAAAGTGCTTTGTAAGTCAGAGCACATCGGGCAAGCCCATGTTGTACTTGACAATGAATGTCCCAATGTAGACCCGTGAAAAGGTGTTGACTCAAGCCTCCTATTCTCCTAGACGCAGTGAACTCATCGGCTGCATGAGCTTCGGGGTGAAGTCCCTGCTGACTCCGGACAAGGTGGGTCCTGGGGAAGCTTCTGGCAGCCTCACCCAGCCTGGGTCAGTACTGGGACAGCCAGGGCACTTGTCTGTGAGATGGTGCCCCACTGAGGCAGGGGCCCAGAGACCTGAGTAACAGCAGCGTTTGTCGCAGGCCTAGCTGAAGGTTTGGGGCCCCTTCTTGTTTGTCTTGCCAGAGAGCAGTTGTTAAGCAGCCTCAAGGTCTCTGAGTCTGGTGCCTGCCACTGAGGACCCTGGCAGGTTCCTTGGGGCCCAGAACTTGTGGGCTGCCCGGGACAAGGAGGGCCAGGTGCTCTTTGTGGTCTGCTCCAGTGGTCCTCTTGATGTGTTAACCAGGCCTGACACTCTGGGTCTAGCAGGTGCACAGGGCTGGGATGAGCAGCGCATGCTCTGTGGGGGTTTCCTTCAGAATGCGCGAGGACTCTGGGATGCAGAAACCCCTCCCTCTGGGTCATGAATCCCTCATCTGTCTCTGATCTGCACTATGTGATCAGGGCAGTGATGTGCTCCCTTTGCTAGAAAAGTCCAGGTGGTGTCTGCTCTGTGTCCTGGAAGTGAGGTCTGGGTCTGGAGTGGGTGGCTGAGGACCATGTGTCCTGAGTATGGGTCCCAGTGACCCCTGGCTTCATTCGCCCTTGAGAAAAGATAAACCCTGTAGATTGTGTGGGAGCCTCAGGATGCCTGCCTTCCGTCCTCTCCACTCTGCTCTCGTTCCTCCCTGGAAGGAACATACATTTGCTGAGCTCCTCCTGTATACCAGGCTCAGGGCTAGGCACATCAAAGAGCCTGTGCACAAAAATCTAGTGAGAGGGGCAGGTAGGAAGTAGATGGGTGTCCTGCAGGGACGAGAGGCTATGAGAATTCGGCAGAAGGGAGGCCCAGCTCTGCCCAGGGCATCAGAGAAGGCTTCCTGGAGGCCCCCCATGGCGGCCGTGGGGCAGAGAGGCTGGAGTGTCTGTGTGTCCTGAGGGAGGCTGCCCAAGGGTGACTTTTTGAGGGGGGTTTGGTGGCTGCCTGGCCAGGACCCTCTGCCGCCTCCGTCTGAGCATGTCATTCCTTCTCTCGTGGCAGGAGATCAGTGGCTGGTACTACCTTCTCGGGGAGGACCTGGGCCGCACCAAGCACCTGAAGGTGGCCCGGCGGCGGCTGCGGCCCCTAGGAGGTGTGAGCACGCCTGCTGCAGTCTCCCCTGCGCTCGCTTCGCCCTCCCGGTGTCACTCCGAGTCCTGGAGCTCGTCAGAGCCCCTGCTGGAGTGCACACTCTCGCCCTTGACACCTTTACTTATCTGGTTGGGCTTCCCTTGGCAAGTCTGATGGCCTGGCCCATGAGGGTCAGCCCTCCCCACCCCAGGTTTGCGGTGCTTCATGAGTGGCCCCACCTCTGTAGGTGGAGTGTTTAGGCCCTGCTGTGAACCACAGGGCCCAGAACTTGTTCCCTCCAGTTCTGCCCTTCCCACATACAGCCCTGGTCCCCAAGCCCCAGAGTGTCCTGGAGGCCGAGGGTGGCCCAGCCTCATCCCGTGGGAGGTCTGTGGAATGGACCCTTAACGTGCCTGCAGAAGCGTTGTGACTCGGCTCTGTCACCTTTCAGACCCGTTGCTGAGGATGCCAGGACGTGGGGACCCTGAGAATGGGGAGAAGCTCCAGGTAGGTGGGGACAGGCTCGGGTGGGACTGGGGTCCCTGAGCAATGCTCCAGGGGCTCTGATCTGCTCCTTGTCAGTACCTACACCAGGGGGACCCTGAAAGAGGGCAGCATTTGGTGCTCGAAGCACAGCAAGCCTTGTGTTCCAAAGGGATTCTTCTGTGACTTCCTCAAGTGGGCTAGAGGAAGTACTGTGCGTTTCTCAGGTTACTTGTGGTCATAGCACGGCTGGGGAGACAGCCAGGCCCGCAGCCCTGGACATGGGGGCATCTGGGTCTTACTGACTTTGAGCCTCTAGAAGCCAAGTGTTCCCTTTGCCCTGGCCCCTGGCTTCCCCTGGCATGGTGGGCGGGTCACCCTTTCAGGTTAGGCCCACTTGGGGCTGGGGAGAAGCTGTGACTGTGGACCTGAGGCTGATGGATCCTCCTCCATTAGGGCTTTGAAGGCGGAGAGGAACGCTCACTCAGGGTTTGGGAGGAGGCTCCAAACTTCCAAACTCAGCAGGTGACCCGGGGTTTTCTCACTATTAGGAGAGGGAGCCACACTCCCAGTGATTGAGTAACCCCTTCCTCCCAGGTGCTGGCGTTACCCACTGCCCTCCACCCCCTCTGAGGCAGTGCCCTATCTTACCGCTGAAGGAGACATTAGGTCTGTCTGTGCCACCACTCAGCAAGGGGCAGAGGCAGGCTTTGAGGCCCCCCGTGTGCAGGTGCCACACTGCCTTCTGCAGGTGGCCTGCGTGGGGAGATATGGTATTGCTGTCTTCCATACAAACATGTTGGGTGTTCCAATCTACAGAACGTCTTCCCTGTCATGGACTCAGGTCAGTCGCTCACTCCCTCATTCAGTGCTCCCAGCTGTGGGGGCCATGCCCTGTGCTGGGTGCTGGGACACAGCTCTGAGCATGTCCAAGGCCCTGCCCTCGTGGAGCACAGTCTCAGGCGGTGTGGTTCCTGCCCGTGGCTGTTGCATGCCTGAGGCGTGGCTAGTGTGGCCGAGGAACTGAAGATCATTTTATGTAGTTTTTTTTTTTTTAAGATGTTATTTTATTTATTTGAAAGAGTTACAGAGAGAGGTAGAGACAGAGAGAGAGAGAGGTCTTCCATCCGCTGGTTCACTCCCAAGATGGCCACAACGGCCGGAGCTGCACTGATCTGAAGCCAGGAGCCAGGAGCTTCCTCTGGGTCTCCCACATGGGTGCAGGGGCCCAAGGACTTGGGGCATCTTCTACTGCTTTTCCAGGTCACAGCAGAGAGCTGGATGGGAAGAAGAGCAGCTGGGACTAGAACCGGCGCCCATATGGGATGCCAGCACTTCAGGCCAGGGCTTTAACCTGCTGTGCCACAGCGCTGGCCATATGTAGTTTTTTTTTTTTTTTTTTTTTTTTTTTTTTTTTTTTTTGACAGGCAGAGTGGACAGTGAGAGAGAAAGAGAGACAGAAAGAAAGGTCTTCCTTTTGCTGTTGGTTCACCCTCCAATGGCTGCCGCGGCCGGCGCACTGCACTGATCCGATGGCAGGAGCCAGGTGCTTCTCCTGGTCTCCCATGCGGGTGCAGGGCCCAAGCACTTGGGCCATCCTCCACTGCACTCCCGGGCCACAGCAGAGAGCTGGCCTGGAAGAGGGGCAACCGGGACAGAATCCGGCGCCCCGACCGGGACTAGAACCAGTGTGCCGGTGCTGCAGGCGGAGGATTAGCCTAGTGAGCCGCGGTGCCGGCCTGGCCATATGTAGTTTTAATTCATTTCAACTTTCCTTGTCGAGGACAGCATAGTGTGAGAGTGACTTGCGGGTTTGTTGTGTGTGACTTCATGAGGAGCTTAAAGGCCTTCCTCTGGCTTCAGAGGGCAGCTGCAGAGACCTTTCGCATCTCTTCACACCGGCCGAGCACAGAGAGGGTGGGCAGGGAGCCCAGGGCCATCAGCACTGTGGACTTTTCAGCGGCTGGTGGAAGTCCTGCTTGGTGCTGGCCTCTGCACACATGTCCCGAGGCCTTGATGCATTTTCCCCGGGGCAGTGGGCTTGTACACTGAGGTGTGCCCAGGACTCTCGACTGTCAGTGTGGTTGGGGCTAGAGGAAAAAGCCAGAGGTCACCTATTCAACTTTTACATTGTGTGTGTCGGGGTGCGGGCCCAGAAACCTGGGTGACCTGCCCATGCTCACTCAGCAACCAAGGCTAGGCCGGCCCAAGGGATCCCTGCTGTCAGCGAGGATGTGAGTGGTTGGGTGGGGCTTCCCCAGAGGCTCCAGGGTGGCAGGAGTGGGGTGGGGTGGGGTGGCAGGGGCTGGGCTCACCCTGTGCTGGTCTACAGGTTTGGGGGTTATAAGGCAGGAGACAGGACCTCAGTAATGGTCCCTGCCTGGGCACTACTTTTCTGTGTGACCATAACCTCTCCTGGCCCCAGTCTCCTCATGGGTAAGACAGGAGGCTGGCTCATCTGACGGCCTGGAAATGCCACATTGGACCAAACGGTCCCCACATCATCAGATCCTGAAAGCAGCCCCTCGCATGGGCTAGGAGACGGACTTGGGAGTAGCTTGAGTGGCAGGCAGGTCCTCAGACTGCCTGGGTTTTCTGTTCCCTGTCTCAGATGGGCTGTCCAGGGGACAACCATCCAAGGCGTCCCCTGCCTGAATCCCTTAGGCTGAGTTAGCCCCCTGGCCTTGCTCGGGACCTGGGACTTGGGGGGAGGCGGTGTTGTTGTAGGGCGGGTGGGCGCGTTTTCTGCCTGGTCTGCAGCAGGGGTGTTTGTGAGAACACTGGAATCACCAAGTGGCCCATGGCGGGGAATGCGGCCAGAACAAAGGCGCCCTCTCCCCGCCGGGCCCGGGGAATACTAACTAGTCGACAGGAATTTTAATATCAAACTCTCCCTCTTCCTTGTCACTCGGAGGGCTCAGGAAGCCTTCGGGCTTATCGTGCAGAGGCACACAGCGCAGACGGGGCTTGGGGAGGTGAGAGGTGATTTCCTGCCATTCTTCTGAGGGGCGGGCTTCCCAGGGCGGTCATGCCAGGCTGACGGGCGCAGTGTGGGCTCCCGCTGCTGGGGGGAGAGCTGGGTTTTCATGGGGCGGCAGCCGAGGCAGGACCCGCAGCCATGAACCGCTTCAATGGGCTCTGCAAGGTGTGCTCGGAGCGCCGCTACCGCCAGGTGGGTGCTTGGCCCTGGGGCAGGGTGTGTGCGTGGGTGTTGGGGGCCGGCCGTAGGGGTTCACCAGAGCAGGACCTCTCCCCCAACCTGGCCTTCCTTGCAGGCTCGTTTTGATCTGGGGGAGGACTAGAGGCAGGTGCTGGACTGCTGGTTTGGCCTCTTACCTACTGGCCCACTTTGGGGGCGGACGAGGTCCAGCCCTGTGCCTTTTTCCCAGCCATCCTGGGTGAGATGATCGAGCTGATTTGCTGTCCTTTTATCTGGGGAGGGGTGTGGGTTATGAAAAGTCCTCTCCAGTCTGAGATTCCAAGTGGGTCGGCTGTGTGTATGTTGGGGGGGGGCGCCTGAGGAGCTGTGGTTTGGCTGACTGGGCCTCCGTGTCATGGCACAGCAGTCCGCCTCTGTCCCCATGCAGGTTGATGTTCCTGGGATGGGGACACCCATGGGACCTTCCTTCCAACATCCCCGGTACCTTGAAGTGCCTCAGGGTGCCCGTGGCTGTGGGCCTCTCAGCCTCCAGTCTGACGGTGGGGCAGGGTGGGGAGCGCTCACATTAGCTGCTCAGCCTCTTCTGGAGCTGCGATAAAGTGTCCTTCTCTTGGATGAAAGGGGAATGGGATAGGGAGGGTAAGACAAGAGCTGCTTAGATTTAAGGCGTGTCCAAGCCAGAAGGGAGCTCAGAAATTATTCTTCTTTCCAAAACAACCAGAAGTCCCTGTGTTGGTGTTAATGGCCAGGTCTGACTCTTATAACAGGCAGCCCTTATGTCCCAGGGAGTGCCTAGAGGTGCCCTGGTACTTGGTCCCCAGGGGACCTGCCCTGCTGACCCCACTTGGTATCTTCACTCTCCTGCATCCAGGCAGAGCAGCGCCTATCACTCCAGGGCCTGGGGGCAGAGTGCTGGGGCGGCAGAAAGTGGGTCGGGATGTCAAGAAGTTACCTTGGGACCTCGGGCCAGAAGGCTAGGCACGCCGGTGGTCAGGGTGGGGCCCTCTGGGGGTAGGGGCTCTGGGACTCGGCGTTCGAGGTGGCTCCTGTGTCGGAAACCAGTGCAGAGCTGAGAGCAGACACAGGCTCACACCCAGCTCTGTGTCTTCTCAGCCGGAGGCGCAGCTCTCAGGGCCCTCAGAGCCTCTCGGAGCTGTGCGGTGCAGGGAGGGTGCTGGGAGGGGAACTGACAGTGCGTGTGAAGGGCCCGGCCCAGCGTCTGTGCCGCACGCACCTAGGGAGTATTCAGTAAATGGCGGCTGCGGGGCTAGAGGCCCAGGGACCAGGCAGGGGAGTGAGCGCCAGGCACGGCCGAGACCTGCAGCAGTGGCCGTTCCCGCCCTGGACAGGAAAGAGCAAGAACCACCCCCAGGAAAGACAGCCTGTGACAGGAGTTGCCGAGGTCCCAGAGTCAGGGCAGGGCTGCTCCCTCCCCTGCTGGCCTGAAGCCCGAGGTCAGAGAGGGGGGCCGAGGGGTAGTGTGTGCTGCTTATGCCAGGCCTCAGTTTCCTTCTCTGTAAAATGGGCACGGTAAAACCACACTGCCCTCAGGATCACAGAGCTGCCCAGGTTCTGAGCTGTTACCTTGTCAACATGGTCCACGCTGATGGTGCTCCCTCCATGCAGGGCCACCCCTCCCACTGAACCCCGAGATGAGCTCGCTTCCTGACACTGCTCCCTTCCCCCTCCTCACCCCCCCACTGGCTAGGACTGCTGTGGGCATTGGGAGTTCCAGTCCATAGTCCTGCCTGGACAAGGGCCCCAGGGAGGGACAGTCTCACTGAGCCACTCTCCTCACTCAAAATGGCAAGCCTAGAGCCTAGGGTGCTGGGCCTCCTGCCCTGTTGGGGAGGACTGGGGAGTTCTAGAGATGTTTTAGAATCTCAGCTTGGGGTGAGGGGTGGGTTGCAAGGTCCCCCAAACACCTGCTGTCCCGTGCAGCAGACCAGGCTGTGGCCATGTCCCTTGGCTTCAGGCGGCCTGGCAACGCTGGGCCGTTCTTTCCTCCAGCTTGCCACAGTCACCCCAGCTTTGTTTTTCTTTCTTTCTTTCCATTTTTTTCTCTTCCTGTCTTAGCTGCGTGTTTTCCCAGAATTCTTATGGGAATGGGGTATTTTCCTGCCCCCTCCCCCTTCCCCTTGTCTGTCAGATTTCCTGTTTTACAAACTCGCTTTGAATCCAGGCCCAGGGCTGGTGGGAAGCAGCGCGTCAGGGGCCCCAGCAGCTTCCAGAGACCCTGGTCACCCTGGGCCGCTCCCATCCTCCTTCCTCGCGCCCAGCCATGGGACAGCCGGCAGGTAAATCCAGGTGCCCGCCACGAAGAGCTGACCCTGTAAGGCCGGCGTACTCTTGACCTTTTCTGGACTCGCAGAGCTGGCTTCTTCCGCACCCTGCCTGGGACCCCCGTGGCCATGGCTCTCCAGGGTGCCCTAAGTCTCATTCTAGCAGGTCTCTTGTTTCTTCCTTCCTGCCCTGCCCCCTGTCCCTGGCCCTCGAAGCCCTTTTCTGACTTTTGCTCCCTTAGCAGCTTGCCTGAGCCAGTGGACACGCCGCACATGGCATCTTGTGCCGGTGGGAAGTGGCCATGCTGTCCTGGCTAACTTGGCTGACTTCCTACCACGCACCAAGCATGGCACCCGAGTCAGAGCACACAGGACGGTTCACAGCACAGCCCCCAGGTCTTGCCCTGTTGCTTGTCACATGCTTTGCTTCTCTGGAGAGATTTGTGTGCCCTCGTGCCCCTCTGGAAGCCGGAGGACCAGAAGGCCTCTTGCCCCTATTCCTCAGCAGAGGTTGGCATGCAGTAGGAGCTCAATCATTGTGCACTGGTTTGAAAAGAATATCTGGGTTGCAGGGCCCTTTGCTGGGACTTCCGTCAGTAGGGGTTGTGGACCTGCTGTGCTCACAGGCCCCAGCAGGCGCAGTGAGGTCAGAGTTCAGGTTCCTCCCAGAGGCCTGTTTGTGCCCTCATCGGGCACATCTTGGGTGCCTTGAGGTCCTGGTCATGACTGCACCAAGGAGGCCAGGGCTCTTCCCCTGAACCTTGGCTTGAGATTGAGTGAGTGCATCCTAGTTTCCCTCCCTTGTGCTCTGGGAGGGCAGCAACCAAACTGGCTGTGACTGTGGACCCTTGGCACAAGGCCAGCCCTGGGCCAATGCCCTGTGGTCTGTGTGGCACAAGGAGAAGGGAATGAGGCTGGCAGTGGTCCATGGGCATCGTGGAGGGGCACAGCTCCTGGGGACTCAGAGTAGAGGGCTGGGCTGCTGGGGCAGAGGAGGGTGACCCTGTTCCAGGCCCTCTGGACATTTGCCTGGGTTTACCTCCTGAGCTCTCAGCCTTCCTGCTTGGCCCACAGCTGAGCTCGGGAGGCCTGGACCTAGCTGGGGACAGCAAGGGGGCTGGCCAGCTCTTTCTTGGCTCTGATCTCCTTGGAGAGGAACGTGGCCCTGGGGTGGGGCATGTGGGCTTCCATGCCTCGCAGCTTCTGGGAGTGACCGGGAGGGTTGTGTCCTAGATCACCATCCCGCGGGGGAAGGACGGCTTCGGCTTCACCATCTGCTGCGACTCTCCTGTCCGAGTGCAGGCTGTGGATTCTGGTAAGTGAGTGCCTAAGGGTCTGCCTGCCCCATTTGCCTGCCAGGCCCCTGGGCGTTGCACATGGAGCACGAAGTGCAGGGAGGCCCACGCTGGAGCACAGCGTCCTGGACTGTCAGAGTGAAAAGATAATATTTTTAAGTGGCCACAGATGAAACTGAGGTTTATGAAAATATGCCCACCTTTTTTTTTTTATCAAAATGAAAACAGCTTTTTATATTTAGTTTCCCAGTTGTTTGAACAGGAACTAAACCTATATTTTCTGTAATGACCGCATGGGAAAATGAGAATCATTTATGAACTCTGTTTGAATTAGTAGTTTATCCTACTGTGAGCCTGTTTGACCCTTGAATACAGCCATTCCTTCCCCACTTGCTGCATAGAAAAGATTTCACCTCCTCACAGAGTGCGCATCTTAAGGGCAGAAGCTAAGGCTCAGTGCTCAGGGTGTCCCAGCGCTGGTGCAGGGATGGGTGGGGGGGGAGTGCTCAGTGGACGATGTTGAAGGAATGACTGAGATGTGTGAGCTGGGCTGCAGGGTAGGGTTCCCAGTGAGGTGGGAGGCCTCGGGTGGCGCTGGGTGGCACGAAGCAGAAGGGGGGAGGAGGGGGCCCAGGGTGCCTCCCTCCAAAGCCCTTGACAGCGGCCAAGTTCAGCCCCTCTTTTCACAAGGAAACAGAGGAAAAGGGCAGGCCTTGTCTGATGTCCCTGTGAAAGCAAAGGATGCCAGGCCCTTTCAGGAGGTCTTGGGCTTCAGGGGCCCCTGATTGGTTTTGCTTTGTCCCCACAGGGGGCCCGGCGGAGCGGGCAGGGCTGCAGCAGCTGGACACGGTGCTGCAGCTGAATGAGAGGCCTGTGGAGCACTGGAAATGTGTGGAGCTGGCACACGAGATCCGGTGACAGGGGCGGCGGGGGCCTCAGCCTGATGGCACATCTCCCCTGCTCCCCACCCCCACCCCAACTCTTCCCCCAGCCTGGGCGCACTGCCTCACCGGCCCTGCTCTGGCGGGTCTGCCTCTGCCCAGCTGTGAGCAATTCAGTGTGCTCCTCGGGGAATCCGTTTCTTGGCCTGCAAATGGAGGGTTCAGACGCAGAGCAGTTTGGATCCTGGAGCGAGCCGCAGGGAAGCAGCTCTCCAAACAGACCCTGGGGTTCATGATAGGCTTCAGGGCGTCGCTTTCCACTTGAGCTAATTATTTCTGCTACCTATAAGCTAAGCCCATTGTTTCGGAGCGTGTGTAGACATTGCAGATGTTTCAATTGCACACTTACTCTTTCAATTTTGACTCTCTGGGATGAAACCCGGATGACTCCAGTTTTGATTGGCTTCTAGAGTAACTGGAGAAGAGCAGCATGTAGGTGCCTGGCATGCTGCAGCCTGCTCACATCTTGCTCTCGACAGGCATCATGGGTTGAGCACAGTGTTCTTTCCTGTTCAACCTGGACTTGGCCTAAACATTTTCAGCCACTGCCCGTCAGTTAGAGTTGACCTAAGAGACCGCTTTGCTGACTCTGCTTGAAATGGCCTCTTCCATCCCTTCCTGTCCTGACACTGGGACCTACTCCTTGGATCTGCCCCCGCCCCCCCCCTCCCCGGTCCTGCCCTGGCTGACTTTGGTCTCCCCCAGGCTCAAATTGTCTGTGCCATCCCCAACTTCCAGGAGCTGCCCCAGTGAGATCATCCTCCTAGTGTGGCGCATGGTCCCCCAGGTCAAGCCAGGGCCAGATGGCGGAGTCCTGCGGCGCGCCTCCTGCAAGTCGGCACATGACCTCCAGTCACCCCCTAACAAGCGGGAGAAGAACTGCACCCATGGAGCCCAGGCGCGGCCTGAGCAGCGCCATAGCTGCCACCTGGTGTGTGACAGCTCTGATGGGCTGCTGCTCGGCGGCTGGGAGCGCTACACCGAGGTGACCAAGCGCGGGGGCCAGCACACCCTGCCTGCCTTGTCGCGTGCCACCGCCCCCACCGACCCCAACTATATCATCCTGGCCCCGCTGAACCCTGGGAGCCAGGTATGGACAGCTGATGCATCGCAGGTGAAGGCTTTGGGTCACTGTGGGAGGCCAAGAAGTCTCAAGGACTCAGAATTGGGTTGTGGGGAGGCTGCGGGGTGTTGGGAGTGTTGCGTCAGGACATGGGTAGGTGCTAGCTCTGGCTCCTGTGAAGCTGCCCTGGGAGAGGGTGCAGATGGGTCTGTGTGGCCTCAGGGCCCAGCTCCAGGACCAGGGCGGGGGTGGGGGAGCACAGGCTGCAAGAATTGCACTCACACGAAGGAAGAGCTTCCTACCAGCATGCACTTCCCCACAGAGGAATGGGCTGTCTCGGAGCCACTGAGCGCCTGTCACCGGAGGTGTGAAAGCAGAGACTGCTTGACTCATGGTGGGACTATGCAGTGTGTTCTCAAAAACATTAGTCCCTTGAGACACTCTGGGAAAAAGTGTCCTGAGGTCAGCTAAGCCTGGGACGTGTCTGAATTCTCTTCCTGTCCCGGGAGGACTCGCAGCGTGGCTCTGAGGGCGCCCTGCAGTGAGGAGGGTGGCCCCAGCCTCTCCCCAGCTTCCCTGGCAGTGGCGCCCTTTAGGGCACAGGTGTTCCGCCCCACTGTTCCAGGGTTCTGTGGAAGGCACTGTGGTCCCAGCAGCTGCCAAGGAAGTTGGGCGCTTGCTCAGACCTTGGACTTTATGCCACAGAAAGCCTCCCTGGACTCTAACACCGGGGCTGGGTGCCGCCGCCCCCGTGGGCTGGCAGGGGCGGCCCGAGGTGCTCACTTCTTAGCCCAGGTCCTGCCCCGCTCCTGGGGCTGAGGTGCTTCTCCGGTCTCTCCCTGCAGCTGCTGCGGCCCGTGTACCAGGAGGACACCATTCCTGAAGAAGGTGAGTGCGCTCCCTGCTGCCCCGCCCCTGACCCTGCCTGCTCCTGAGCCCAGAGGCCTTTCTCTCAGTCACTGCTGCTCAGCATGCTGGCAGGCTCCTTCCTGTTGGGAAAAGAGCAGTGTCTTCCTTCTCGCTCCCGTCGGAAGCGAGGCGGAAGAGAGGCGACCTTGCCGGCATTGTCGAGAGGCAGTGCCGGGACTCGGGTGGTCCGTTGAGCTTCATTCAGTTTTACAGGGCAGTCAGTCTGTGGCAGGTGCTGTGGGCAGCAGGGCGGGGCCTGTGTGGAAGGGAGCCATGGAATTTGGAGCGAGGCAGTTTCAAATCCAACTCCTGACTACAGGATTTCGAGCAAATCACGCCCTCCCACTGGGCCTCTGTTTCTTCATCTGTAAAATGGAGACGGCAGTTCCCACCAGAGCTGCCTTTGGGAGGGTGAATGAGTGAGGGCCTGTCTGTGGTGGGAGCCGGTAAGCTGAGAGGCAGCACAGAGCCCGCGGGTCTTTGAAGTGCGTGGCTGTCTCTGCTGCTTGATGGACTCTCCTTCGCCCTTCAGATCCTGACCAGTAATGGAGGCCAGGCTCAGACCTGTTCCTTCTCTCGGGAAGCCTGAGATTTCAGTCTTTCAAATAATTTTCATTTACATATTTTCATTTTATTTGAAATGCAGAGAGAGAGAGAGAGAGAGAGAATGAATGAGATCTTCTGTCCACTGCTTTACTCTCCAGATGTCTGCAACAGCCAGAGCAGGCCAGGAGCCCAGAACTCAGCCCAGGTCTGCCACTTGCACCTGAGCTATCCCCTGCTGCCTCTCAGGGTGCACATTAGTAGGAAGCTGGACTGGTAACAGAGCTGGGACCGGAGCCAGGCATTCTGATATGGGATGTGGGCCTCCCAAGTGGTGTCTTCACCTTGCACCAAACGCCTGCCCCTGAGCTGTCAGTCTTGATGGTGGAGCTGGCTGGACTCTCCTTTAGCCCCTCCTTGCACCTGCTGGAGAGCTCAGACCCTGTGAGGCTCAGGTCACTGATGGAAGATATTTTCTTTCTCTCTGGGGCAGTTGGCCTGGTCTGTAGGAAGTGAATTTTTGTTCCATCTGGGCTGATGAGTCTGACAGTGATTCAACTATGAGTTTTTTAAAAAGCTTTTAGTTGGTACATTAAGTTAGAGTGGAGGTGCCACTGCTAAGTGGTGACTTCATTAAGGGCAGGGCCTGGGCCTGGCTTATTTCTGTGTGTCCAGTGCAGGACCCAGGGCCTGGTAGACAGCATATACTCAGTAGAATTCCAGTTGAGTGACTGACTGAGGGAGAAACACTCTAGTAGCCTTTCAGGTTTGAAGCCCAGAGGAAGGAGGAGGGATGGGAGTGTTGCCTGCAGTTTGCACATAGCTGGGTGATCGGGGATTGATTCCCCCTCTGCCTGGGGGATGTCTCTGAGCTGTGTCTATGTTTTCATCCCCCCCGTCCTGAGAATATAATGCTTGGTGAACCAAGAAGGGCACAGTCAGCTAGGCTGTGGGGAGAGGGACAAGTAAGGAAAAGACGATGATGTCAGTAACAATGGGACTTTTTGAATCATTGCATTGATATCTTGATCTCACCTCATGTATTCATTATAATAATCCTTTGACGTCCAAGGACATCTTTGCTGTTCCAGGGTTTAAGCCTTCTTCATAGCTCCCAGTCCTGGGGTTCAGAGGCAGGGGTGAAAGTCATGGCACAAAGTTGCCCTTAGACACACTTGGGGATGTCTAGAGATTAAGACTGTCACCAGAGGGCGAGTTCTCAGTGCCCCTGTAGGAGATTGCCTTTCAGAAGGAAGGGTGGAGCTATCCCAAGTGGAATAGAGTCTGGTATCCTTCCCAGGCCATGGGTGCCTGCCCGGCTGTGGTTCGTAAGTTCCCCAGGGTTGCTGGTGCCCTTGGCATTGTCCCCTGCTCTGTGAAGGTGGCCTAGCCTCAGGGGGGCATGGCTGCTGGGGCTCACCTTGGAAGCTGGGGGAGAAGCCGTTGTCCTTACTGTGTTTGGTCAGTGAAGCAGGTGTTAAAAGAGGGTGTCAAAGAGTTTGGACCAGACATTCCAAGAAGTCACAAGTGGAAAGTAAGAGTTTGCCTCCACAGAGCTCAGTAACTGGGTTGCAACCTAGATTGCTCTAAGAAAAACATACTTCAAAACCAGGTTGGGAGGGCCATGCCCACTTGCTATACCTTGCCTGGGGTTTGTGGAGATGGGGCATCAGGGCATGACTGCCACATGGGTTGGGTTGATCCTGCCTTGTATCGTTTACTGGCCAAATGACCCTGGGCAGGTCATCAACCACTCCAGGCCTCAGTTTCCTTGTTTAGATTATGGGTTAGACAGACCTTTCCTTACTCAAGTCTGAGTTATGTGACTCTCAAGGCCGCAGGTGAGGATTCTCTGATAGCCCTGGGCAGTTGGGCTGGGGCAGGGAAGAAAGAAATTCTTAAAAGTCTAGGACTGGGGACCTAAGGCCCAGGCTTTGACACTTGCCAATGGTCCGTTTCTTTAGCTTTGGCCTGTTTTGCCCGAGTCCCCTGCTGGTCAGTCTTGCATGTTTTCCCTTCTGTGTTCAAGGTGTGTCCCTGTTAAATCGGTCTGTCAAGTTCCAGGCCCCCCCTGTGGCTCCCGTCGTAGCACGGTTTGAGGCACAACAGAAACTCTGCCTCTGCCTTCACTAGCCCTGAGGAGTCGATTATTCAGTGACACAGGATTTGTGATCATCTCTTACCCATTCACACTCGGGCCCACTTTACCAGCTCTTTCCCATCAGGTCTCCTGTGCGAGCCTCCTGCCGGCCCGGGGAGTCAATATCCATATCTGGTCCAGTTGGCAGTGGAGAAAACTGCAACTCAGCAGGGCTAGCAGCCTGCTCGGGGTTGCAGAGCCAGACTCTGGCTTGGGAAGCCAGCATGCGCAAGTTCAGGTGCCATTTCCCACCCCCATCCAGGGCGGAGCTTGACACTCAGGATGGGTTCTCTCTGTAGAGGAGCCCCTCTGGGCCTGCCCAGACGAGGAGCTGTGCAACCCCTTCCTTGCTTCTGCACCTCCTTACGCCGTGGGCTCTTGCTCCTCCTCTCTGAGCGACTTGCAGAAGAGGCAGGAAGTGGTTTGAGTGATCATGGTTTGAACACTGCCCCCAGATTTGACTGTGTTCAGTGGTCACTTAGTGGGGGCAGTCAACTTGTTTTTCTTATCTTTTCAGTAAGAATGGGCACAAGGTGGTGGGAGGAAGCAAGTGTGAAACCTTCTGAGTTGAATTTTCCTCTCAGGGCCATAGACTTTGCGTGGGCGGGGGGCTCCCCTGAGATGTATGATGCACAGGGCCACCTGTTTACCTGCTGGCTGCCTGGGCTGGGGGTGGCAGAAGGAGGCCCAGGAGCTGGGACTCAGGCTGGGCACCCAGGCCAGGGAGGCCTTGTTGGTTGCCCGTCTGGTAGCAGGAATCCCTCTGGAAGGGGCCCATGTGTGTGCAGAGTCCAGTCCTCTGGGGTTGGCCTCCTACCTGCTTGTGTCCAAGAATTCTTGGCTCCAGCTGCTGTGTTTGCCTCCTCTGGCCATCTGGTGGGCTGTGATATGGCCCTCTTGTTCAGCTGTGTGTCCAGAAATTCCCTTGAGGAGGGACCCCCCACTTCACCCCACTCCCATACCATGGCAGCCTTTGGCTCTCTTTCCTGAGGGTGGCCTTGTTTCTCTCTCCCTTCCTCCCTTGTGTGTTTTGACTCATTTTGAGCTGGTGGCCAAGCTGAAGTACCTTTCTGGACGCCATGAACCCTGGAGTCCTGTGGGGCACCTGATTTCCCAACGTGCTTTTCCAAGTGAAGGAATCACAACCACAAGTTAGCAGCTAAGTTTTACTGCACATTTAGGAGGTCCCAGGCACTGTGGTTCTAAGGACTTTACTTGGAGCACCTCATTTACTCCCCACAGCACCCCAGTGAGCGTGGCACTGTTATTCCAAGGTCACATGGCTACAAGGGGGAAACAGGATTTCAGTGCAGCCATCCGGCTTCAAAGCCAGTGCTCTTGACTGGGAACTAGGGCAGCGAGTGCCACTCCTTACTCTGGGCTGACCAGGGTGAGCCAGGTGGCTCCAGCTCCCTTTGCTGGTACAGGACAGACTCCAATGCCTCGCTCTCTCTGTTCCCACTGCAGAGCCTGGTCCATGGGCCTAGGCAGCAGAGCCAAATGTGCAGGGAGTCGTGGGGATCGTACAAGGGGTGAGCATGTGCCCTGGCTCAGGGCCAGTTGGTACTCCTCTGCGACCCACTATTCTATGGGGGACTGTGGGCCTTGAGAGGTAAGACCTTTTGAGTTTTCAGAACCTGAGCGATCTTGGTTTGTGAGAGTGAGGCCAAACGTAGAGGTCTGACTCCCAGCCTGGGTCATTGCTGCCTCTGTCGCAGTCGGTGGGTCCCGGCTCTCTCCCAGCGCTGGAGTTGCCTATTGACGTGCCCATGTTTCTCACTAGAGTGTGAAGGAATTCCTCGAGGCCTGAAATCTGTCTGGAGCCTCCCTGTAGCTTCAGTGCTTTTCCCAGGGCCTCGCACGAAGCAGATGCTGAGGAAACAGGCGCTGACTGGATGCGTCTGCTTTCCCTGCTCCTGCGAAGGGGATGTCTGGCAGGGTGAAGGAAGTGCCTCATGCTCCCCATCTCTGCCCCCCAGAATCAGGCACTCCCAGTAAAGGGAAGTCCTCCACAGGCCTGGGGAAGAAGTCCCGGCTGATGAAGACGGTGCAGACCATGAAGGGCCACGGGAACTACCAGAACTGCCCGGTCCTGAGGCCGCATGCCCCGCACTCCAGCTACGGCACCTACGTCACCCTGGCCCCCAAGGTGCTGGTGTTCCCCGTCTTTGTTCAGGTGAGCCTGTGGCTGGCCCCAAGCTTCCCTCTGGAGGAGCTGCCTCAGCCCCGGCCTCACGCTGGGACTGAGGCGCCCCCTGGGGAGGAGAAGTAGCTTCAGACGCTCAGGGTCCTGGGGGTTTCACTGAGGGAGCAGAGGGAAACGTGAGGGACGTGAGCCCAGCGGTAAGGGGTCCTCCTGCTGTCCCTTGCACTCTGCTGTGCTGGGCACAGGGCAGGCGCGCTACCACTGCTTGGGCCAACGTCACGGGCCTGCTTGCCGGGGCTCCTGCTCCTGGCTCTGGTGGTCTCCTGCTTGGAGATGGCTGAGGAAGAACCTGGAGGTCTGGCCTCTGACGGTCTCCTTGGGCTCAGCAAACCTGCAAGGCTGATGTTCGCTGGTGGCCTGAGAGCCGTTCAGGGCTTTCTTCTTCTCTCTCCTCCTCCCTGTTTCCCTCTCCCTCTCTTTGTTACTCCGTCCTGATAAAACCAATGGGGACGTCCAGGTGTCTCCTGTGTGCATATACACATCAGGAGAATCAGACTGGATTTTGTATTGTTTCAATACACAAGTGGTAGCACGAGCCTTTCCCATGTTGTTAACCGTTCCTTGAGCCTGTTTTGTATTTTCTGCACACTCTTCCATCACAGGGTATGCGTGTTTATTTCGCCAGTTCTCCATGCAGATACTTCTGAGTGTCTACGCTTTGTCTGTTGTGAACAGTTCTGTGAGGCAAATCCTTGTGTGTGAATGGCCTCTCTCATAATTTTCCTTGGAAGAGTATTCCTGGAGCCACTTGACTGGGTCATAGTCACAATCATTTTTAAAGGCCTTTTACACACTTGGCAACAGGCTTCCCAGGAAGATTCTTCTATTAGTTTATCCTCTTTTCAGCACCATAGAGGGGACACAGCCCCAACAGCTCATTTCTGACCATGCCTTCCTTCTCTGGTAGCCCCAGCTCCCCACGCTGGGCCTGCTGCTGTGCAGTGCACCTGCAACTCAACGCTGTGTTAGGGCGGCTGCATCACTGGCACGCAAATGCCTCTCCCACACAGCTCTCTATCCAGAGGGCCTGGCTTCTGCCTTTCTCTGGGTATTTTTTTCTTTCTTAGGATGACACAAAGGTCATGGGTATCACAGGAAAGTTATTATTTTATTTTGTTTTTGACTTTTTATAAGCAATTAAAATTAGTTTTCAAAAGTTATAATTTTTAAATTGTGAAATATATAAACTAAAGATGGCATAATACTTAAATGTGTGGTCTAGAAAATAACCCCAGGACAAATATCCACTAAGATGAAGAACTAGACCATGGCTACCGTTTTCAAAGCCTGTGTCTCTCTGCCACTCATGCAGCACCCTTCCTACCAGGTGCACCCACCAGCCTGGCCCTACTGTCAGCATTTGCTCGCTTTTCTCTAGTTTTCCATCTATGTGCCGTTCTCTAACACATTTGGTCGGCCTCTTTCTAAATGTTATTTAATAGAGCCATCCTGCGTCCGTTCGTTTGGCTCCTGCTTCTTTTGCTTCGTATGATTTAGAAGATTCATCTAGGTTGTGTGTGTAGTCGCTGTTTGTTTCATTATCTTTCTTCAAGCACTTTCAAGCCATGTTATAAATAGATGTCCACGAGGACCTGTCCTGCTGGGGAGAGCAAGGCCTGCTGGGTAACCTAGAACTTGTGGAGCTCTCTCCTGGACTGAGTGGGGCAGGCTGATGGGTGAGGTGAGAGGTGTGGGGGAGAATCGGTCCCTTGGGAACTGAAGGCTGAAAAGGAAGTCACTTGGCTGAAGTGTGGAATGAATGCAGAGCAGGGCCTGGCCCGGCCCGGGAGGGACTCAAGTGACCGAATCTCTTGGCCTGTAGCTCTCAGGATTGCTGCAGGGTCTGGCACCAGGTGCCTTCCTCAGGGGCAAGAATGGGATGATTGGGGACTGGAGGGGCTGGGAGCCGGAGGAGGAGAGCAGGGCTGCAGAGGGCCTAAGCGGGTGACTTCCTGCCAGAAAGCGTGGCTGTCACGTGAGGAGGGCTGGTGGGGAAGGTGGCAGCCACAGTTCCACACAGGACAGGAGCATGTCTTTCTGTTTCCAGTTTGCGCTTGAGGGGGCGTGTGGGTTCAGTGGGCTGGTGGCTGGCAGTCCCCTCTCTGTCAGGCCGCCACCCACGCCTGCCTGAGCCTCACTGGCCCTTTGAACTCACTCAGCTCAGGCCTTGCTCTGTTTGCAGCCGCTCGATCTCTGCAACCCTGCCCGGACCCTCCTGCTCTCAGAGGAGCTGCTGCTGTACGAGGGGAGGAACAAGGCTGCCCAGGTAAGACTTGCACGCGCCATGCCCAGGGAGGCCGTCCTGCTGCCATCGCTGGTTGACCTCTGGCCCTCACCTGTCTGTCTTCCTGAGGGTCTTGGAAGCGTACAGTCTCAGGCTAGAGGAGACCTGGCAAGTCTGCCAGCCCCCTCCCCCTCCCTGCCTCCTTACCAAATGGCTAGCCTGCTTTTTCTTTCACATTTCCGGTGATGGGGAGCTCAGCTCCTCTCAGAGCTGTTTAGGCCATCTTGGCTGGCTTGGTCATTTCCCCAGCCCCTGCAGGCATCCCCTTGTCGGTCCCGGCTTCCTGTAAGGAGCAAAAGAGACGGCACTTGTGCCCCGCTGTGATGAGCGGCTTTGTGGGTGAGAAGATTAAAGCAGTTAGCCGGAGAGATGTTTTAGGGAAGCATCGGTTACCCAAGTTTTCTGAGTCTGTATTAACCCAGATCCCAAATCCTGTGCTGAGAGATCAGTCTGTGTATATCCTGGCTGTGCCAGCAGAGCTTGGGGGTGGGGGAGGGGGTGGGCGCAGGTCCTGGGCCCTGGGCCTGCTTCCTGCTGGTTGGGAGAACCTCGCTTTCAGTCCCCAGAGTGCCTGGGTATCAGCTCAGCCCCTGAACTTCCAACTGTTTGGGAAGGCAAATGGGAGGCCTGGGATCTGGCCAGGCTCTCTGGAGGTTTTAAAGCTTCTGCCAATCATGTCCTGATGCCAGACTGCCTCCACCAAGTTGAGGAGCAGCTGGAGGCGGTGGAAAGTTCAGGAAACGGGGAAGCAGGAAGCACGTATCCAGCCCCAGCTCTGCTGCTGTCCTCTTGTGACTTCTACCCCTCTTCCTCTGTCTTCCCATCTGAACAGTGGGTATGTATTGTGTATTCGAGGCAGCAAGGGCCGAATCTGAGGTGGGCTGATCTAACAGCCTCAGCATTTTGGGGCACTGTGACTGTGGCTAAAGCAGGCAGCTGGCTTTGCTTCGTTTTGTTGTTTAATCAAGCAGACCAGAGCTCCTATGTTCCAAATGGGCATTGGCTTTGGCGAGGGAGCTCCCTGAGGAGGCTGCGTGCTCATTTCCACCACACTGGTATTGCTTACTGTATTTCTGGATCTCTCCTCTGAGAGCGTATCTTCTGAATTGCCTTGCTGGAAGTAAAACTTCATCGGGTACGAGATTAGGTTTGACCAGCAAGCACTGCCTTGGAGCGGTGTTGGTGAATGTGCCTGTGATTGTGTCAGGAGTCAGAAGGTATGGTGGAAATTCATCAGGGCCCAAAGAAGGGGAGCCACCCAAAAACATAGAGAGGAGCACTTTAAAAAGTTCATGGAAAGGGACAGCACTGTGGCATTGTGGGTAAAGCCCCTGCCTGTGACTCCTCCGGCACCCCGTGTGGGCGTTGGTATGGGTCCTGGCTGCTCCACTTCCCAGTCGGCTCCTTGCTAATGCACCTGGGAAAGCAGCAGAAGATAGCCCAAGTGTTTGGGTCTCTGCACCAATGTAGGAGACCCAGAAGAAGCTCCTGGTTCTTGGCTTCTGTCTGGGCCCACTTGGGAGTGAACAAGCAGATGGAGGATCTCTCTCTCTCTCTAGCTCTGTCTTTCAAATAATAAATAAAATAAATCTTAGAAAAAAATAAAAACAATACAATGAAATCACACAAAGAAAGTTCACAGAAAATGGAATTAAAAGGTAAGTGTGGGGACTGGCACCATGGGTAGCACATAAAGCTGTTGCCTGTGGAGTTGGCATCCCATATGGATGCTGGTTTGAGTGCCGGCTGTTCCACTTTTGATCCAGCTCCCTGCTAATGGCCTGGGGAAAGCAGTAGGAGATGGCCCAAGACCTGGAAGAAGCTCCTGGCTCTTGGCTTTGAACAGGCCCAGTTCCAACCATTTGGAGAGTGAACCAGCAGATGGAAGATTTCTCTCTCTATAACTCTTTCAAATAAAACAAAAAGTTTTTTGTAAAAAAAATGTGTGTTGTGCTGTTGAAGTGTTTTGGAATCTATGCGTCTGAGAAACTCTTCAAAAGGTTCATAGAAAATGCATATTATGCAAAAACTATGCATGGATTTCAAAACTTGCTTCAACATAAACTTATCTTTTAATTCCATTTTTACATACCCTTATACATATGTCTAGATTTGTTCTTTTTAAATTTTGCTCAGCATTAAAGCTGCACATTTTTTGTTTAAGACTTCTTTGTTCACTTGAAAGGTAGAATCAGAGAGAGAGAGAGAGAGATCTTCACTGTGTAGGATTCACTCTCCAAATGACTGCAATAGCCAGGGCTGAGCCAGGCTGAAGCCAGAAGCCTGGAACTCCATTTGGATCTCCCACATAGGTGGCAGGGGCCCAAGGACTGGGACCATCTTTAGCTGCTTTTTCGGGCAGGAGCATTTACAGGGAGCTGGATTGCAAGTAGAGCAGCTGAAACTCGAATGAGCACTCGGATACAGGTTGCTGGTGTGGCTAGTGGCAGCTTAACCCACTGTGCGGCAGAGCGGGCCCCTACTCTGCAGATGTTGGGCACTTTCCTGCGTGTCCTCACTCTGTGTCCATTTCACAAACTGAATCCCAGTGAGGTGGGGGCACCCCCATGGGAGGCATGATGAGGAAACTGAGGCTTGGGTGAGATTCACTAGGACCCAAGGGCTTCAAGTTTGGGGAGGGCTGGAGCCAGGAATTAGTTCTTCAGTCTCTGGCTCAGCACTGTTTCCTGTGATCCCACGCTGCCTCTGGCACGATTGTTTAAAAACAAACCAGCAAGCCCAAGCTGAAGCCATCCAGAAAAATCTTTGCCTTGTGCATCTTTGGAGCCTTAAAACTAAGAACATTCACCCACCCCTTGAAGATTGAAGGAAGCGATTTGAAGAAAGTAAAATAAATACATTCCTTTCTCCTGCATTGTGATGGCAACCAACTATGTGGCTCATCGGTGCCCTATCATGTTATTAAGCCAAAAATACAAACCAACTCCAGAAAGATTTGGATAAATTCATAGAGCCCCAGTGTTGGTCAGGCTCTCAGGAATCATTTCTTCCAATTGCTTCCCTATAACTTTCCAGCTACAGATTTCCTGGTCAGTTCTCCTCGGGGCGATGGAGAGCACTAAATTGTAGAAAGCCTCTACGCAGAATTAATGTCTGTATTTCTGGAATGTTCTTTCCTCTTGCTTCTTTGTCCCATCTCCTCTCTGGGCAGGCTCAGATTTGCTAATGTCTGTGAGCGGATCCAGTCCCATACCATGAACTGTCCCCCCCTGCCCCATCACACCCCGTGCTAAAAATCACACGCTTGAGTGTCCTGAGATCAGACCAGCACTTTGGAGCAGCCTCACTGAAGTGTTCAAACCATAGTTACTGCACGTGTGCTGCAGAGGCCAGGCTGGTGCTAGGTTCCAGGAATACTATGAAGCATCGGACACACCCTCACTTTACACTCTGACTCATTCAGTTTACCATTAACCAAGGCACCAAGGTCTTTTCTGCAAACCTTGCCCTTAGGCCAGATTCCTGGGAGAAAGTATGGTTAGGGCCACTTGGGAGAAGTCACCCTCCAAGTTGTAAGGATTCCAGTACCCAAATGGTCCCCTCAATCCCTGACCCTTTGGGAGAACAGATGTGTCCTTGGAGAAGACACCTGGTGACTCCATGGCCTGTGGGGGAAGCCAGCAGGTGCCCGTTCCAGGGAGATCCAGCAGGATGCCGGTGACATGGGAGGGGCCACATGTCCTCCCCAGGCACGCTCGCTCTCTGCCTTGCCTCAAGCTGTGTGCCAGCTCTGCCTTTTTCCTGACCTGACCTTTGGGGAAATTTTTCATTCATGCCTTAATCACTTCCTGTCTAGACCATATTCTCAGCTCTGGGACTCAGCCCCAGCAGTGGCCTGGGGCTTTTCTCACCTTGCCCTGACTCCCCCCTCCCCACCACCCCCTTGCCTTCCATGCAGCCTTCCCTGGGCCTGGGCCATCTTTTGTCTCCCCAGGTTGTCTCCTCCAGCCCTTCCTCTGTGGGCTTTCCTATGGGTCGGGAGGTGACTGCCAGATTGCCCTTGAGTTGGGGGAGCCTGAGGGTTTGCAGCTAGTTTTGAGTCTTCTTTCTGTCACCTTGCACTTTGAGGTCCTTGCTTCAGACAACCAACGCCTCAAATCCTCGTGAACTCTTTGTTTTTTCCCCCTTCCTTTAACTACTTTATTATTATTCGGCCTCCTTTGTCCCTCTTCTTTTTGGAATCCCTGTTTGGATTCTTTTACATTCAGGGATAGGACAACTATAGGGTCAGCCAGACCTGGCTGTGTGGCTATGGACAGGTCACTTAACCTCTCTGATCTGTAGGGTCCTCACACGTAAATGAGGGCAATGATGTTATTTAAATGAGGATCCACTGAGCAGGAAGTAACTCACCCCCAAGATCTCTTCCTTCCCAGAGCTCTGGAGCCTCCATGTTTGGGCCCTGCTGGAGAAGCCAGAGCTGCTGCCAGTCTCCTGTTCGAGGACATCTGGTCCCCTATTGTCTGTGTGGCCCATATCCCCTCATTTTCCTGTGTTTATGCTACTTTCAAAAAGCCAAGAGATTCTTGGAATACAAGATATTTTCAAATTATAAAAATAACAGAGGCCGGCGCTGCGGCTCAGTAGGCTAATCCTCCACCTAGTGGCGCCGGCACACCGGGTTCTAGTCCTGGTCGGGGCGCCGGATTCTGTCCTGGTTGCCCCTCTTCCAGGCCAGCTCTCTGCTATGGCCAGGGAGTGCAGTGGAGGATGGCCCAGGTCCTTGGGCCCTGCACCCCATGGGAAACCAGGAGAGGTACCCGGCTCCTGCCTTCAGATCAGCGCAGTGCACCGGCCGTGGCGGCCATTGGAGGGTGAACCAACGGCAAAGGAAGACCTTTCTCTCTGTCTCTCTCTCTCTCACTATCCACTCTGCCTGTCAAAAACAAGCAAACAAACAAACAAAAAACAAACAAAAAAACCCAAAAAACAAAACACCAGAGTCTTATTGCGAAATAATGCGAATTAAGCAGAAATATATGAAGTCAAGTCCCACTGCCCTGGTGTAAGGAATATGGTGAGTATTCTAAGTGCTGAAAAGATCTGTAGGTGTGTGTGCTTGGTGCTGAGACCAAGATGCCACTTGAGATGCCTGCGTCCCACTTGGAGTGCTGGGTTCAAATCCTGGCTCCGGCCTGAGTCCAGCTTCCTGCTCATGCATCCTGGGAGGCAGCACGTGATGGCTCAAGCACTTGGGTACTGGCTACGCACATGGGCAACCCAGATTGAGTTCTGGCCTCCTGACTGGCCTGGCACAGCCCTGGCTATTGCGGGTATTTGGGGGAATGAAACAAGATGGAAGCTCTCTCCCTGCCTATCTCTGTCTCTCTGCCTTTCAAATTAAAATTAATAAAAAGTTAAATAAAAATGGAGAGAAATCTATAGTTTTACAAAAAGTGGATCATACTTTCGGTATTTCTGCCCACTGTGCTATTTTGGCTTATGATAGATTTTTATTTCTGCCCACACAGCCGTACTTTGTGCTTTGCATGGTCACGTCAGTTCTGCCACATGAACATAACATGGCTTGTTTCCTCCGTCCTCTCTTGCTGGGCGTTTGCATTATTGGTGAGAACATCCTTGTAGATTGCTGTTTACGTATCCGGTGTTTACGTATCCTGGTGTTTACGTATCCTCCATCCTTGGAGGATGGAGTCTTAGGAGTGCATGGTGTGGACTTGATAGCTTACATGCACCATGTTGGCTCCTTAAATTTCAACAACAATCCAGCACACTCTCACTGTGCCCCTCAGTACGTCCCAAGTACTCTGGCTGATTCTTTCTACGAAACAAGCGACAGACAGAACAGCGAAATGTCAGGTTTTGACACCTCAAAGGGGAGTTCACATAATTAATACTTTGTTTTCTTTGGAGACTCTAAAATTGGCTTTTATTGCTTTTTGCTGAAAGGCCACTGCAGGATTTACACAACAAAGACCAGTGTAATCTTCACTGGCATTAGAGGATCAAGTGGATTTTTTTTTTTAGCATCAAAATATGCTGAGCATGCCTGTTGGTTTACCTATAGTGTCTAAAAATAGTCCTCTCCTTTGTTTTTGGAGCAGCAGATACATAAAAGAGATAAAAGTCATGTACGTATCTGTATTGGCGCATAAGGAACTGGCTTTTTCTCAAACTGATTTATGATTAATGCAGTTAGCGTTTTCTGTAAGGACTTTGGAAATAGAACCTCACAGTGCACTATGCTTCACTTGAGTCTCCAAAGGGCTTGTGCAAGGAGCCTGGGAAGGACCCAGGGACCTGGCGGGAGAGTCCAGGGTGGTCGTTTGGTCAAAGAGGTGGGTTGGGGGCCTCGGGCTCTAGAGAGACCTGCCCAGGCTGTCTGCCATGGAGGGTGACAGCCCTTCTTTGTCCCCTGTTCCTTTTCTCCTGCTACGAGGAGTGGAAGTGTAGGAGAGCGGCAGGTGGAGGGGCTGTCTCCTCTACAGGCAGCTCTCTGTGCAGGCCTGAGTTGCTCCTCGCTCTGCCCCAGCTGCCAAGGTTGCATTGCCCGGAGCTCCAAGGGAGGCTGGGGCTCCCATGCCCAGGGGACAGCGGAGCAGCCTGTTTGCCTTCTTCCGGTGCAGGTAACCCTGTTCGCCTACTCGGACCTGCTGCTCTTCACGAAGGAGGATGAGCCTGGCCGCTGCAACGTCCTGAGGAACCCCCTGTACCTCCAGAGCGTGAAGCTGCAGGAAGGTAGGAGGTGTCCCGCCGCGGCGGCAGCAGGCAGCACGGTGCTGGTGTCCGTTCTCCCCCGGCAAGACCTCTGCTGCGCCCCGAGCTTCCCAGGGACGTTTCTGTCCTAGCGAGTGAGGGGGTGGGAAGAGCTTTGCACTCAGTGCCGTGTCCTGAGTGTCTCAGCCCTGCCCCTCGCTACCAGCTTGACCTTGGACAAGTTCCTCAGCCTCTCTGTTTCCTCCTGTGTGAGTGGGGATAATAATAGCATCTTAGAAAGTTGTGAAGATTAAATGAGGTCATATATGCAAAGCGCCTGGCCCACAACAGGTGGCCAATAAGTGCTTGTTGCCGCCCCCACTCGCCACACATCTCTGCCATCGGAAACCACGGCCTCTTCTACCCGCAGCTGCGTGGCCCTGCCAGAGCTAGCGAGCAGGAGCCAGTGGGAGTGTGGAGTGAATTTCTAACCCGCCTTTGCACTGCGCCGCCTCCGCTGGGCCAGCCAGCCGGGAAGCAGCTGGGAGTATCTGTCGGGCGGTTTGGTTTGGCGCCTGAGCTCTCCGCTGTGAAGGGCTCGATTTCCTCTCCCAGATTATAAAAACAACAACAGACCTGTCTGAGCACGGGGGACAGGGGCAGGGAGGAAAATGTGACCCAGCAAAAGAATTCCGTTTGGGCGGGTTTTGCTCCGGGAAAACTTCCTGAGTGCTTGCAAAGCCGTCCTGCACACAGGGCCCGGCCGCTCCTCCCCTGGAAGCTGTCAGTGTGAGAACCGCTCTCCCGGCGCCTCGGCACAGGAAGGCACGGACTTTCCCTTCTCCGCCTCTGGCTTTCTCCAGGGCGGCCCCCCAGGGGCAGTGAGGACGAGTAGGCCTCTGAGCTGCCATGCCAGGGAGCTCCCTTGGGCCAGCCAGCGGGGAGCAGGCTGGACTTCTGGCAGCTCTGCCCTTGGCCTCCCGGCTGCTTGCCTGCCGCTTTCTGGCACCCGGCTTTCTCCTGCACTCCCCTCTCCCTGGTCCCCCAGCGTGCTCTGAGACCTGGACCCTTGCTCTGTGCTACACCTGGCTGGTCTGGGGCCCGAGCCTAGGACCCTCTTTGCTGCTAAAAGGAGGGAGGGAAGAGAAGGTTGCGTTTTAGGTGGAGGCTGGGGATGGAAAGAGGGCAGTGCCAGACCTGGAGGCAATAACAGTGGTGCGGGGGTCTGGCCTTGGCTTTGCTGCTAATGCACACTTGGAGTACCCGCCCACCTGCCCCCCCCCCCCCCCCCCCCCCCCACCGTGCCCTTTCCGCTCTCAGAGCCTCAGCTTCTCTGACAGGGGAAGTAAGGGTGGGGCCAGCTCCACCCCTCCAGCTCTGACACCTCCCAGACAGGACCCTCCCAGGGTTGGGGTGCTGTGAGGAGCTAGACCGTGAGTATACCTTCCTGCCTCCACCCCTCAGGCCTGGTCTGGGACTTGGTTAGATTTTCCTCTTCTAGAACCCCCAGACCCAAAACTTGAAGTTGGGGAGCTCCTGTGGACAGGATGGCCTCTCATTAACATTGCTTATGGCAGGAAACTCCTAGGTTTCTTGTTTGTCTCTTTGAAATCAACATGAATGCCATGGTCAGCAAAGGTGCCACTGACCTTGCCTGATGGTCCCTGGGAGGAGGACTCTGCCCCACCCCAGGGACCAAGGACTCCATCGTGCAACTTGCCTGAAGGGTGCTTAGCCCCTCGGGCCATGCACACGATCAGGGCCTGCCATGGGACATGGACCATCATGGATGCCCCATGAACATTTGTTGGGTGAATGAATGAATGATTACAAGAAGACCTGGGCCAGCCCAGGAGGGGGGTGAGAGATGGGCAGGAGGTTACACCCCTCCCCCTGGGCTCCCGCCAGCAGCCACTCAAGTTCTGCCTGCCCTCCTCCTGCCCGGCTTGCCCTTAGCCTCAGCAGGCCTGTGGGCAGTGGAATGGGAATAGGCAGAGAGCTGGCGTTAGTGACATTGGGACCCCTCTGGTCAGCCCGGCCCATTGTGGTCTCTTCCTGCCTCTGCCGCCTGCTGGCTTTGCTACTCTTTGTGTTTTTGTCTCCCAGGTGGCAGCATCACACCCACATGGTGTCTTGCTGACTGTCTGTGGTCTCAGAAATGGCCTAGAAATGTCCGCTTGATTCCTGGGCGCTGGACTCGCCCTGGGGAGCCAGGGGCCCAGTCTTGGAAACTTAGCTGCTAAGGTCCCACCCAGCTACGGGAATGCTTGCAGTTAAATCTGAGACCTTCTCTGAGTGCTTCCTCAGATCTCAGTCAGTGCGGGCGGCCGGGGCGGTGGCAGGGGTGGGTGGGGGGGAGCCACGTTCCCCTCTGGAGAGCAGAGCCTTGCGGAAGTGCAGAGGAGTCAACCTGCAGCCGGGCGGGAGGGTGAGGCTGTGGTCACCGACACAGGCTTTGGAGGCAGCTGCCTGCCTTCAAACCTGAGCTTTATTCACTGTGTGCCTTGAACAAGATATTTTCCCACCCTGGGCCTCAGTCTTGGTGTCTGGAGAATGGAGAGAACAGCCTTCATGGCTAGTGTCAGAGGAAAGAGGAGAGGGTTTGGTGAGTGGTGGAGTCTGAGAACAAGGCAGAGGGGCACATCTGTTCCAGGAAGCTGTCTCTAGACTCTGCCCAGCCCTTGGCGGGGGCTTGCTGCACACGGTGGGACGCCAGACGCACTCCAGGACCACATGGCTCCTGGTTAGCTCTCAGAAGGTCCGAGCACTTGGGGAGTTTGAAGGAAGACGGGGATGTATGCAGCATTGGTGCCCTGCTCCTCGCCCCGCTTGCCCGCCCCGCGGGGCTTTCCTGGGTCAGCCCCTTGCAGCCTGCGGCTCCTCCCCGCCCCCTCCGCTCCTGCACTTCTTTCTGAGGCCCTGAGCCATGCTGAGCGCTGCCCCCATTCCATCCTTCTCGCAAAGTGCTGGCAGTACAAGGCTGTGCCGGGGAGCAGAGTGCAGTGAGCGTTCACAGTGATGCAGGGCCGGCGGGCCAGGAGGGGGTCGGCTGTCACGCGTCAAAGCATCCGTCCACCCACCCCGGTGCAGGCGCAGAGAGCATGTCCCGGGGTGTGTCCCCCTGACCTTCGTCTCCTGGCTCCCTGAGGCTCATCTCCTGGGCTTTCTCAGTCCCTCCAGCGCTTTCTCTTGTGTCACTGCCAGCTTTCCATTTCGCTTACTTTCTTCCATAGATCTGCTGGCCCACTCTTGGCACTGGGGTCTGCTTGTGGAAAGGTCAGAGAGCGACCCAGTTGCTTTTTACGGGAAAGCAACCACCTCCTCTGGTCTCCACCCTCAGCGGCACAAGAAACCGGCAGCAGACACTTCGGACTGTGGTTTTCTGAAACACGATGGCGTTCTTCCCTCCAACCCCTCTCTCAGCCGGGAGAGCTAGAAAGATCGGTTCTCCCTCTGCCCATAGCAGGCCCCCATTGACTTGGGAGCTGTTGGTATCAGGCTCTGGCTGGCAGCTCCCAGCCCTAGAGATATTTTTTGTCTAGGGAACTGCTTGTGGACTGGCTTCCAGGGGGCCTGGTCTACACCCACACCAAGGCCCTCACTCCCTGCTTTGCCTGGGAGCTGACCTGACCCACATTCTCTGTTTCCACCTTGCTGCCTTCTCCTTACAACACGGTTTGGTTTTGTGGCTGTTTGTTTGCTTCAACTGTGTGTTGAGGGCATCTACTTTGGGCCCAGTGCTAGGCCGGGTGCCTTGATAGGAGAGAGGGGCTGAGCAGGACCAACATGGTGGGTGGATAAGGGGTGGAGTATGTAGTGGGTTGGAGCCTGTCTACTGGATGCTGCCCAGGAGTTAAATCTAAAGTCTTGGGGCTGGTATTGTGGTGCAGTGGGTTAAGCCGCCACCTACAACGTCAGCATCCTATATAGGAGCCAGTTTGAGTCCCAGCTGTTCCACTTCTCATCCAGTTCTCTACTACAGCGTTTGGAGGAGGAGAAGAAGATGACCCAAGTGCTTGGGCCCCTGCCACCCATTGTTTTATGGGGGACCCAAATGGAGTTCTAGTTTTTTGGCTTCAGTCTGGCCCAGCTCAGGCCATTTGGAGGTGTGAACCAGTGGGTAGAAGCTCTCTCTGTAATCTTAAAGAAAAAAAAAATTAATCTTAGTCTCCTTACTGTAACCTCCCGAGAGGTGCTTGTGATGAGGGTGGAGTTTATGCATGGGAAGCATTTAGAGCAGCAGGGGGCGCATAGCACTGTGGTACTGGAGGCTCCGTGGCACTCAAGTGTCGCACCTGTGCTGACAGCCTGTCAGGTGAGTCAGTTGCTGAAGTACAGGGAGCTCCTAACTGCACCAAGCCTGGGCCCCGACCAGCGGCCTGTGGGGGATGCTGCTAGGCCCTGAGGCATGGCCGTGGTGGTCAGTGCAGGTGTTCTGGAGGAGGAGAGGGGGTGGGGGCAGGGCGTCTTCTCGGCACTCAGCGTCCCTTCAGGAGATCCTGTGCTTCTGCATCTGCTCTCCTTCGCCAGGCTCTTCCCTCCTCCCGCAGTGCCCTTTCTTCCCGTCTCCAGTTCTAGCTCAAGAGGGGCCTCCTCTAGGAAGCCTGCCCCAGCAGCAGGGGCTGCCCTCTCTGCCCTCATGCTTCTGCTGGCTCTGAGCAAATCCCTTCCTGCCTGCGTTCTACCTGGGAACCCTGCTCGGGGTGGGGGAGGGAGCACTGCCTTCCAGCAGGGAGAGGGCTTGCTGACTGTTGAGTCTGGGATCCTAGACCAGGTGAGGGGGCGCAAGCCGGGCTGGGAAGCCATCTCTGGGCTGCACGCACAGCCCACACATTTCTGGTGGGAAGCAAGGCCCACCCAGGAACCGGATGGCTCCTTGTATTTCAAAACGGCGAAGACAGTTGGAGCGTATAAAGGAAAGCCCAGGCGTCTGCTGCCTCTGTGTCCCTCATTGCAGGGATCTTGGAAAGGACAGGGCCTGCTGGGGTGCATGGCAGCTCCTGCCTCTGGCTGTTGGTCGCTTGGAAGGTGCTCCCGGTTCCCTGTCCTGGATGAGGTCTCAACATTCCTAGGGCCAGGCTGACCGGCAGGCGAATGCCTTGCTGCTGAACATCGCCCTGGCTGGTTGCTAGTGGGCTTCCCTCTAGAGACTTCCCTATTGCCTGGGTCTTCCTCTTTCTCCCTCTTCTTCCGGGAAAGCGCCACACTCAGTGCCTGGACGGTTCAGCGGCTGGGACTCTTCAGCCAGGGCTAACACAGGTCTTCCTTTCTGTTTCTTTAAAGGCTCTTCTGAGGACCTGAAATTCTGTGTGCTGTACCTGGCAGAGGTGAGTCCTTCCCTTTGACTTTGAGGAGAGAGGTCTGTGTCCTGGTGCTTGAGGGAAGACGTTGGGCTGGGTTCCCTGACGCCAGCCTCCCCAGTAGGGGTCATGCAGGGGTCCTGGGGAAGTCCAGAATGGCAAGCTCCTTGCTCGGTAGCAGAGAAGTAGCATCCCTACCTCTCTGGTCTCTGTGAAAGAGCAGTAGACAAGGAAGCACTGGGAATGGCTTCATGATGGAGTCCCTGCAGAAGCCTGAGAGAGCACAGCCCAAGTTGCAAGTCCCCCTTCCTTTAGGGGTCACCCTGATTCCCGTTGTCCTCATTTGAACAGACCTCTGGGAGAGAAGACAGTTGATAAGATGTTAGCTTCAGAGACAGTGCACATGTGGGAGGTGAGCTGGGGACTCTGGCTGCTGGAACTCAGACCTGAGGACCAAGGAAGCATTGGGTGCCCTCCCCTGTGGCAGGCATATCCCACCAGGGTACAGGTGTGGCAGGTGGGATCCCTTCAGTGTTGGAGGTGTTGAGTCCCATGGAGCCAAGTGAGCAGAGAGCAGGTAGAAGCCCAGGCTGGCCCCTCCTCCAGCCTCACCACTCTGGATTCCATTCCTCTCAATAAGCCCTGCAAGGGTTATCCAGGCTCCTTCGTGCCCAGAGAGCTTCCTGCAGGCTGGGTTTGTTTTTCCCAGAGAAAAAGCACTTCTGCTGTGTTGGTTTCCAAGGATCTGTGACCTCCTAGTCCTCCGAAGATTGATGGTGGGTACTTAGTTCAGTAATGTGCCAGGTGATCTGACCCCAGGGGGCTAGGATAATGAAGTTCATGGGCAGCTACAAGCCTCTCTGTTCTCTTAATGGATTGGTGTTCATGAGAGGCACATCTGTAATGCAAGGAAGACAAATGCCTGCTTGGTCCGTAGCTTGGGACATTCTTGATGTGGGTGGTTTTAGATCCCATGGAGAGCCCAGACTCACATCTTGATTGGAACTTCTGGCATGTGGTCCCCTAGAGAAGAAACCAGGAGAAGAGAGTCAGGGTTTGGAGAGGCTTTTCCATTCTGCGTTGAGGCACTGCCAGTTGCCAAGGTGTTCTCTCTGATAGCTCCCTGGCCACAAAGGTCCTGGGTACTGTTGCCCTCTACAGTCCTTGGCTCTGGGTCCCTAGCCCCTGGACAGGTGTCCCTAGCCCCTGCAATCGCTGGGGCAGATGTGCCTCTGACTGGCTTCAGGGCACCCAGGGTTATTGGGTCAATTGGCACATTGGTCAGGGACCATCTCCCAGCCTAGAATCTGATCCTGGCTTCATTAATTTAAGAGTCCTGGCCTTGGAGTTAGGGAGACAGGTCTGCCAGTTCCTGAGTGACCTGGGGCAAATTATGTAGTTATCTGACAAGAGGCCGGTGAAGTCCACCTTGCCGGGTTGTTGTAGTGATTAAATGAGATTCAATGAGATGCTGCATCCAGAGCACTTAGCACAGAGCCTGGCACACAGCGAGTGCTCAATAATGTTAGCTATCGTTATTTTCAGATTCATAACGAGGGGAAGAGCTTTTCATATTCATTTTCTCTCCATTAGAGACATCACCAATGCCTTATTGATCTTTTAAAATGAAAGTTAGAAGGAATTGCTGCTATTCTTTGTGTACACATTCAGATACAGCAAGAGCACAGGCTCTGGAGGAGGCGGAGGAAAACCAAGAACCTCCTCTTCCAGACCTGGGCAGACAACTTACCTCTCTGGGTCTTAGTGCTTGCAACTGAAAAATAGGCATAGCCATGCCTTTGCTTCCTCCCTCTGTTGTAGGGCCATTAGGAGAACTGCATGAAATGAGAGAACATTTTTCAAAGTACAGGGACAAACTTTAACTGTAGCTGCAGAGAAAACGTTTTAGTTTTTACAAAAACAAAATTAGCTCAGGACAAAGGAGGTCAGGCAAGATGGGGTTTTGAAGAGGCCAGGTGGAACTGGGTCTCTGGTTGGATTTGAGGATGCCCACATTTCAAGGCAGGGATTTGCTGTGCATCCCAGAGGTCTGTGCGGGGCGGCACTGCCTTTGAGTAAGTTTCCTGAGGATGCCTTCAGGGAAGCTTATGGGCTTGGCCCTGGAGCCTGGGATTGAGGATACGCCGGGAGTTGGCTCAGTTGGATCACATGCTGGATCCAGAGGGATGGTCCTCATGTTAGGGAAGCCACCAGGAAGTGAGGGCTCCCAGTTTAGACAGATTTAGGGAGATGGGAACGCAGTCTCTCTGGTGGGAGCTGGCTCAGCACTTTTTCCTCTTGGCCAGGCCAATTTCCAAGCTCAGACTCCTACAAATATTTGTCCATCTAAGACAGCCAGCCACTACTCCTGGGCCCAACCTGGGTTTCAGCCCTTGTTGCTTTGGAAGCCTGATGGGCCCTCTAGCATTATCAGCGTTTTCAGCCTCAAGCTCTCAGAGCCAGAGAGCTGCCCTACATGCCGCAACTGAGCTGGGCAGTGTGGTCGCCACCCCAGGCGGGGAGGCGTGGCTTTCCCCAGTTCCAAAGGAGCCTCCGCGCTCAGTGCTATGGACTCAGGAGCTTATTGAATCTCATCTGCTTGTGACAAATGATAGGGCTGCTAGGTCAGATGGTGACACATGGCTTCCCAAAGAGGAGGGGAGCAGGAGTGGGTCTTGCAAGTGTCCGTAGGGTGGAGGTGGTCACAGCTGCCACCTTGCACGGTTGTTGGAAGAAGTGGGAAGGCATTGCTGGTCAAGTGCTTTGCACTGTGTGGGGCACTGGGTGGGAGGGCAGACTTAGACTCAGGGCCGTGAGAGGCCGTCTGTTAACTTCTGCAGGGAGGGTCGAGCGGGCTGCAGATGTCCAGCAAGCTGCCAGGAATTCTGCAGGTGCTCGTAGGCCCACTGGCCTAGAGTCTGGTCTGAAGGTTTGCACTCCGCTTGCCTTCAGGGCCCGTCTGCCGCGGGAGGGTCCTGCCAGCCAGGCATGCAGCAGCCTCCCCAGGTTCCAGGGTGAAATTCCGCAGATTTGTCTCCAAGGCCTTGAGTCTTATCTCTGCCATTCCTTGGCAGTGAGACTCAGTGAAGCCCTTGGCCACTCTGGGCTTTGGTTTTCCCCTTCTGGAAAATGGGAATAACGATCCATGTCCTCGGGCCTCTCTGTGGAATCGCCCAGATGCACAGGTGATCGTGGGTGAGAAAGTGCTTTTGAAGATTGAGAATTAGCTAAAAAGAATTGGTATGAAGATGGGACTCTGCTTCAGAGCAGAGCAGGGCAGAGGACACTGCGGCTCAGCGGGAGGAATTTGCTGGATCCCACACAGGGGATGAAAGCTGGGCGGGGAGGCTGAGGTCAGGGCATGGCCTTGGCAGGCTGGGAGGGACCATGGTCCTCACTCGCCCCTCCATTTGCAGGGGACCAGGACAGGACAGGGGGCGGAGGGCTCTCTGGTCAGTGGCTGCCTTACCTGACTTCGCCCTGGGAAACCTGGAGTCCTTTGCTGGGTGTGTTCCATGCCCCTCCCGCTCCTCCTGCGGTGGGCAGGAGGGTTCTGGGAAGCAGCAGGGGCTCCAGTGCTGCCCAGCACGTCGGCTGCAGTCCCTGAGGGCAGCAGCCAGGGCTCTCCTCTGCAGCCTTCAGGAAAACCAGCATCCGAGGACTTAAGGCAACAGAGGAATGGCTGGCACCCAGGGGACACTTCGCATGGCGGGGGTGGGGGGGGACCACCCTGAAGGGTGGGAAAGTCCCCAAATGACATTAGGTGATGTCAACAGCCATCCCTGGCTCAGGGCCTCTGCTTTGCTGTCCTCTGCCTAGGACAGCCTCTCCCAAGCACTCTCCTGGCTGGCTCCCTCTTGTTACGTAGCCCTTAGCTCCAGCGTCACCCCCTTCTAGGGACTTTTCTGACCACTTCGCTTAAGGGTGACCTTGCTTTCTGAAGTTTGTGACTTTTCACGGTTTCTCCTTGTATCATTTATGTATTTCTTTATTGTCTTGACCCCCCCAACTCAAGGGTGCTAAGGGCTTTGTCTGTCCCCTCTACCTCCTTATCTCCAGTGCCTAGGCTGGTCCGTGACGCAGAGCAGGTGCTCAAATACTGCTTGCTCGGTGAGCACTTCCTGAGCAATAGCGATGGCTGCTGTGTGATGAGGCCTGGGCTGTCCTCGCTGCTCCCCGTGCTCTGCGAGGTGGATGATGTCATTGTCATCCCAGTTTACAGAAAGCTCTCAACTCTCCTGAGCTGGGAAGTGCAGAGTGGGATCAAACCAGCCTGTCCAGCTGCAGGATAAGGAGGGCCTGGGTGGAAGCACTGTCTTTTTCTCCGTTCTAAGTGTCTCGTGCTCTTAGCTCCCTGGCTTAATCCATCTAATTGCTGTCCTGTGGGGCTCTAATACCTTCCCTTGGAGTTAGAAAGTGTCCAGTAGTGGGCGGTAACCCTAGGTGGTGGCACCGCCCTGCCCTGCCCCCAGCACATCCTGACTGCTTCCTGGTGACTCCCTGGGTCCTGAAGCTCCATGCTTGTACCAAGGCTGGCCTGGGTTTGACTCCTGGAAGTTCCTCCAGACAACCAGCGCTTAGAGAGGCCCATCCCTGCTATGCACTCTACGAGGCCCAGAGGACTAAGGCCTTCCTAGAAGGAGTTTATGGTCTACGTGGTGGGATTAAATGATAGCCATGCCAGAGATGTGGTTGTCCACAGTTGGGCTGAACAACCATTGGTGTCACCCCACGCACACGCTGGGCAGTGGTGGAACTGCCGCGGGGCACGTGGCCGCCCATTGTAGGCTTCCCAGAGGGGCCTGAGTGGCTGTTTGGGTTCTGTCGGTGTGTCTGTCCAACGCCTCTAACCTCGGCCTTGTGACCGGAGGAGTGTGCCCTGGAGGAGAGGGGTTCTGGGGGCTGGATGGGAGTACTGGCTGCACAGAGCATCAGCCTGTGGCCTTAGCCCGCTGGGTTCCCCATTGCTCCCCGAGCTGCCGCCTTGCTCTGTCTGCCCACCCCCTCCCCGGGCTGACCTCGCCATTCTGTCCTGCAGCTCCCCACAGGCCTCCTCTGTGCTGGGAGCCACTGCCTTGCTCCTCTCCCCTCCCCCGCGGGCCTGCAGCTCACCAGCTGCCCCCAACCTTGCTTCCCAGCTTCTCTGGCTGCCTCAGTGTCACCAGGGATTAGTGTGCATTTGTGGCTTTTAGTGGGCGCTCCCCTCCCCACTGCAGCCTCGCCCTCAGGAGCCCAGGGCTGGGCTTGGGCCTGGGAGCCCCCTGCTCGGGGAGCAGCCCTGACCATCCCTCTCTCTGTTTCCCTGACGTCAGAAGGCAGAGTGCTTATTCACTTTGGAGGCACACTCACAGGAGCAGAAGAAGAGAGTGTGCTGGTGCCTGGCAGAGAACATCGCCAAGCAGCAACAGCTGGCCACCTCGCCCCTGCAGAGCAAGGTAAGGGCCTTGTCCGCCGCCTCACCCCTGCAGAGCAAGGTAAGGGCCCCATCCACCTCGCTTCCCAAGGCTGGCCTCCACCCTCGAGCCTCCGAGTTGAGTTTGGGGCTGGCCTGAGCTCTGCTGGAACTTGCGTCTGGACAGTGATCTCCTGTGCTTGAATGTCTCTGTCCTTGGCTTTTCTCTGGGTCCATTGAGTGGATTTGACATTGCTTGGGCAGATTGGCAGAGACAAATTGAGCCTGACCCATCAATTCTCAGCACTGTTCTTTGGTTTGCCTGTGGCTGGGTTTCATTTGGGCTGGCCTCCCTTGCTGTTGCCTGGTGCTCGCTCCCCTCTGCCCACGGGCAGGCTTTGCCCAGGGGCGGTGTGCTGGTGTTTAACACTGGCCCGAGGCAGACATCATTGAGGGGAGATTTGCGGCAGAAGCTGTTACAGTGTGCTACAGGCCAGAGCCAGGCGAGCTGCGTTTGTACCGCTGGGGCTAAGGACCAGCCAGCCAGAGCATCAGAGAAGACCCGACTCTGGGGAGGCCGATCTGGGCCAGGCCCACTCAGCTGGTCCAGTGGCTGGGGAGGGAGGGAGGGGAGATGGGATGTGACAGGAGCTGGACCAGTGCCTTTCCCTTTGACCCCCCCCCCCCCATGCCAAGCACAAAGCATAGTTACCATCCCCCATCGCTGAGACTTTCAGGTCTCTTCTCTTTCTGAATGTGGGCCCCTGAGGGGTTGGGTCTGACTGGCTGCGTGGTTGCTAGGTGTGGTTGCTTTGCCCAACCTGGGGGAAGAGGAGAGACGAGTGCGAGCTGCAGCTGGAAACTCGCTGGTCTGGCTGCTCACCAGGCTGGGTGGGGGTGGGCATCAGACCCGCTGTGGCAGGAGCTGGGGGGGGGGGCAGCCTCTCCTGAGGGCCACTGGTGGGCAGCGCTCTCCAGCCACCCCCGTAGGGAGTGAGCCCCTAGAACCGTGTCTGCTGAGGTGTGAACGCACGTGATCTTACTTGACATTAGGCAGGGGTACGATTAACTTTGATGAGGGAAGACAGCGGGCAGGGCAGGGATCCTGGGTCTCACTGTGCCTTCAGTGTGACCTTGGGCAAGTCACTCCGCTGCTCTGTGCTTTGATGTCCCTATCAGTGACGTGGGGACACTGGTTCCTCCCCCAGAGGGTTGCTGTGGATTCGCAGAAGGGCTGACATAGGTCTCGTGCAGTTCGTAGCACAGGCACTCACTTGCCCACAGCTGTGAGGAAGATGCTGCCCCCATCCCGGCTCCAGGCGGGGCAGGTTCCCACCATCAAGGTCATCTCTTGAAAAGAGACCTGCCACCATGGCTACTGCCGGCCTTTCCCCGTTGGTCTGGCCTGGGCCACAGCCACAGTCCAGGCTGCTCCTTCTTCACTGAGCAGCCGCTGAGGCACTGGATGACTGAACGTGTGCCTCCAGCTTGCTTTGCGTTGCACTGACTCAGTTCCTCCTGTTCTGAAGGAAAGAGGATGTTTGTGCCTGGGCTTCCGAGTTGCTGGCTCCAGCATATGTTGGCAGTAGCCTTCTCAATGCCTTGGAGACCCTTTCCTCCTCTGGGTTCGGGAGGACGGTGGGTGACTGCAAATAGGCTGTGCTTGCCCGGCACACCTGTAGTCCCAGCTACTCGAGGCTGAGGCTGGAGGATCGCTTGAGTGCAGGAGTTCTGGGCTGTTGTGCACTGTGCCGATCGGGTGTCCGCACTAAGGTCAGCATCAGCATGGTGACTTCCTGGGGGTAGGGCACCACCAGGTTGCCTAAGGAGGGGTGATCCGGCCCAGGTCAGAAATGGAGCAGATCAGAACTCCTGTGCTGATCTGAAGGGCTCTGGACTTGGAGGCTGAGCCTGGAAGGTGTCCAGGGTTTGGGCATCCTGAGTAGGCATCAGGTTGGACACTCTTCAAGCCAAAACTGTTTAAACATCGAGTGTCATGGAGAAGCCGTGTGCTGTGTAGGAGAAGGGTGATGAAGCAGGGGGCCTGGCTACTGAGACAGCCTTGGCGTTGTCTCCTGGGCCTGAGAACCAAACCCTGCCCCAGACTCGCACACTCTCCCGGGCCTGCACTCCTTAGAAGGCAGTCGTGGACCCGTCTGTCATGGGGCAGGTCCCTTGGAGTCTCTGCAGAACCTCCACCACCCGCCCTTGGAGTTTTAGCAGTTTAGTCCTCCGAGCCACGCGCAGTGCTTCCCGCAGATACGACTGACTCTCTCCAGCCTTGTAGGTTTCCAGACAGCTTCTGCGACCTCAGTGACTGGGCCCACGTGGCCGTCCAGCTGGCCCAACCTGCGCTTGGCTCTGTCAGCTCCTGGCTGCCTGAGTGACCGTGACCCTCCTTCCCCAGGGCTGGGCCACAGCCTTTCCACTAAGGTCTGTCCCCTAGGGTCGGAGAGGCGGGACCGAGGCCCGCTGACATTGGCTGCTTGCTTTCAGTGCGTGACAAGTCCCGCTTGACTGATGCACTTGGATCCTGACTAAGCAGCATGCCCTTTTACGCCTTTTCTGTGATCCTGCCTTCTGAATGTGCGCCTTCTGTTAAACAAAGGAAAGCGAGAGCGAAGTACACCCCCCCCCCCCCCCCGCAATGCCTCCCAGAACTCCCCGGCTTCCCTGCCCGCCCGCCCGTGTCCCTGCTCCTCTCCGAGTGTCTGCCTGTGCCTTGGGATGGGAGTTCTTCCAAACTCTCAAGGAATGTAAAGCTCTTTCCAGATTCATCAAATGTAGCCAGTGCGCTTTGCCCTGAGGATGAAACAGCTGCTTGTGGGGAGCACGGGTGTGGGGAGGTTGTGGTTCCCGTGGGAGCCGAGGGCCAGGGCTCCTCCGGTCTCCTCCAGGGATCTGCGCCCTGAAGATTTCTGCCTGATTCGACTGCCTGTGAAATCCCCACCTCGCGGGGCCAGCTCTGTTCTCCCCTCGGGGGTGGGCAGGGGCAGGCAGTGTGGGGGTCCCCGCGGATGGCGTCCCTTCCCTGGGGACCATTGTCTTTCTATTTCTCACTCTTTGCCTGCAGCTCCTCCCACTTCTGTAGAAATCTTGACCTCCTTCCTGTCCTGCCCGGCACCCCGCCCCCAGTCTTGCTTCATGACCTCTCCCAGGAGGGCATCTCCCTTGCTTTGGGGCCCGCTGTGATGCTTCTAATGCTCCCAGCTTCTACCACCTGTGGCTGCTGAGGTTCTAAGCCCGGACGGAGAGGCAGGGTGGTTTTATTTTGGTTGTCAGTGAAATGTAGACACTAAATACCTTCTCTGTGCCAAATGCTGGTTTAGGCCCTTTGGGGTCACAGAGATGAGCAAGACGTGGGCCCTGTCCTTACTGATACCTCCTAACTGGAGAGAAGTGGTCAGGGCACTGGAGAGGAGTTGCGAGCATTAAAGACCAGGCCTGCGGGCCCTAGGGGTGGCCCAGCAGGGTCCCGGCTAGCTGTTCATCATCCGTTCACTGAGCCCCCCGGGCTGGGCTGGCCAAGCCTTCTGAGAAGAGTCGGCTGGCCCCTGAGCCCTCGGGCGTGAGAAGTGGGGGTCAGTGCAGCGGAATCTGTCGCACTCTTCCCTCTGGAGATCACAGTGTAGTGACAGAGACAGACGTGGCAACAGACTGCTCCAGATAACACGGTGAGTGGTGTGACCCCGGGAGGGCCACCTGGCCTCTCCGAGACGCAGTTTCTGCACCAGTAAAGAGGACGGATTAACAGGGAGGAGTACACTCAGAATGCGCTTGGCCAAGTGGCGCGCAAGAAGAACGCTGTCGACTAGCTGCTGTTGCTAGCCTTATTCTAAGTGATGTCTAGAGGAGGAGCCGTCTGCTAGCCCTGTTCATGGAAGCTGACACCGCCACTCAGCACATGGGACCACCGCCTGCCTTATTCCAGGGCCCAGGCGGGGACACAGGGCCTCCAAGGCACAGAGGTGCGTGCCGCCTTGTCATCTCTGCTTAGACAGCTAGAGCCTGCCTGGCCTGGAGATGCCAGGGTCTGTCTGAGTGACTTAGTAAGGGGCAGAGGCAGGTCCTGGAGTCAGGCAGCCCCGGCCTGAGTAGACAGCAAGCTAATTCCAGTTCTGTCTGGTTCCACAGAAACTCCACCCTTATGGCTCTCTCCAGCAGGAGATGGGGCCGAGCAACTCCTCCAATGCTACCCAGGATAGAAGCTTTACCTCATCAGGACAGACTCTGATTGGCTGAGCAAACCCAAGGGCGGGACTCTGCTTCTAGCAACTTAACCCTTTCTTGGGCCTCCCCTACCACACAGTAGCCTCACCTCAACTGGACCCAAAACAGAGGACCAAGATGGTTGGCCTAGGGTCATCTGAAGGGAGTGGTGCCAAGGGTGTGTGTGGACTGGCAGCAGGAGGACTGCAGGTGACGTGGAGGCCCCGTGAGCCTGTGCAGACTGTACAGACTGGCTGCAGGAAGTCGCTGACGGAGAAGGTTCGGAAGCTTATTCCCTCCATGCAGAAGGAGGTCAAAGGGCATCTGGGCCTCCAGCAGTGGTTCCAGCACCCACTTTGAGGCCAGCAGGAGAGGCTGGAAGAGGTCACCCCAATGAAGAACAGCGCCGTGATCCACTGCTGCCTGAAGACGGCGCCAGCCACTCGTCTCTCACACGGACACCTTCACGGGTTCCTTCAGTGGATTTGGGGGAGGGGGTTAGGGGCTGGCATCTCCTTTGTACCAGGCTCTGTGCTTGGGGATACTGCAGAGAACAAGGTGAACCTGGCCTCTGCTCTCATCAAGATTCCAGTCCTAGGAGGGAGTAAGTGCGAACCAAGTCACACCACCAGCACACACCCCGCCCCCCATGGTTGCCAGCGGTGATAATCTGGGAAAGTGGCAGTTTCCTGCAGAAAGGACTGTAACTGGATTGCTGTGGGGGAGGTGGGGCAAGGGACGGACATAACTTCGCCTGCTGGAAAGGAGCGAGCCAGTCGAGACTCAGGGAAGTGCGGTCCGATGGGAGGAGGTCCCAGCGGGGAAGGGCTTGGA